CACTCTGTTATAAAATCACTAGTCGCAATAAAACCAAGGAAACGAACCCTTTTCATTACTATTACTTAGTAACATGTAGCACAACAACCTAAATCGCCCAAATTTATTTTAAAATGCTAAGAAGATATGGCCAGCAAAGACAAATCTTTTGACATCGATGACGATCTGTAATGACAACTGAAATTCAAATGCTAATCAATCATTAATAAATGTTTATAAATTGTGACCCGATGTCAAGCATTTTTATAGTCTGGCACCAAAACGGAAGAGAGTAGCATAATGCATCGTACACCACTGCTAACGCGGGGTGTTTTTTAATACGACTTTGGGATCCTCGCACGCCGAATTGCTGAACTTAGCAGTGGCGTACGATGTATTATTTTACCCTCTTCTAGGGATATGTAAGGAATATTCACATTTTCGCATTCGCATATTTTTATGTTTCTTGAGATTCGCACTCGCCTCCGCAGTCGCAAAATTCAAGCGAATATTTTGATAATATATATTTATATATATATATATAGAAGGACATTCAAAAACAAACAAAAACTATTTTTCAATAAACGTATTTCCTTAGGCCAGCAGGAGTATCACGTATCTTGAAAAGTGAGATTATTTTAGTTTTTTCACATTATGTAAGTTTTTTGTGACTTTATGTAGGTTTTTCCACAATATGTCAACTTAGCACGAGCTGTTGTTCACGTACATAGCTGTACGTGTTGCCTAAACGTCATGATGCTGCAGCTATCAATTTTTGGGTGCTCTGATGTGATGAAACATCTGCTTCGGAGATGGAATTATTGGAGTTCTAAGCTGTAAGTTGCATACTATAGCTGGAAGGAAACGAAACGACAGTGCATAAGTGCATAGTAAGGATTTGTGTGCTAATAATCTGTGTTGGTGATGATTCCATCGGTTTCTTGTCTCAAATACACTTACTTGAGAAGTACGTAAAGCTATGAAGAAATTATGGTACATACAGGAATTCTTATGAAATATAAAAAGTTATTACAATTCACGTTAATTTTTAGTTCCTGTCATTTAAATTTTATAGAAATTACGATGTCAAGTAGAAAATAGAAATCAGCGCCTAGATGGTGGCAGTGCAAGTGATGCGTCATTCCTAATTTTTCTGTGATGTGGTCTAATTGCACACAACGCTGGTGCGGTGCTGATTTCCCGTAATGCTTTTATAACTTTGAACATAACCTCTCTTCAGAAAGGGCAACACAAATACACATGTAAACCAATACACAATCATCCAAATGAGGTCCTGCTACTCTGCTACTCAACCACACATCTTCTCAGAGTAAGGTCCACAGACTATCTCGGCATTCTGCAACCAACAAAGCATGACGGCTTGCAGCTTGTAGCAAGGTCATTGAACGTGTCATGTTGTCGAGTCATTTCTCCATAATGGACGCTCACAGCGAGCAAACTAGAAACTATCTAGGCTTTTTCAATCACAGGTTAATTTCAGTTGTTTCATTGTCAGGTTTGCCCTAAACTGTACTTAACTTTAACACCGCGATGTGTAACCTGTTTTGCTTTACAATTATGAATGACACGTGACACGAATCTCGAGCGTCACGAAACGCATACGTAGAAGCAGCGTTGCCGCATCAACGATTGCAGGTGTGGTCCACATAATATATTTGCATCTGATGGAAAAATATTCTGTTCCGAATGTTTTGCAAAAAAGGTCCCTTTTAACGAATCTTCATGTTGCCAAGAACAAATTTTCGTCAAAAATGTTGGAAACAATTTTTACAAAAAATTGTTTATTTCCGGTCAAAGTGCTTTTGGGATATTCTGAACAAAAAAGGTGCTTTAGAAGTTGTCTCTAAAGTTGACAGTTTTCCAGATATAGGGCTTATAATGAAAAATTATTAAATATATCATGGGTTCCCAAATATTCTTCAAACACCTATTAATAATCTATGCTCTGCGTAAGTGCGAGAGAGTTGCGACGTTTAGGGTCGGCCAGCCGCGGCGAACCGTTGAGCGCGTGCTCGATTATCCATTGAAGAACAACGGTTTACAGTAACAATACGCCCTGAAATGATTTGAAATTTTGTTAATCTATGTTTGAAGAGAATAGCGTCGCGAATATAGATGACATGTTCGCATTAGGCTGATATCGGCAGCAGATATTCGCATTCTCTATCATCGATGACAGATGTGCGCATTCGCAGGTATTCACATTCGTGATTATCGATGACAGATGTTTGCATTCGTGGATATCGACGACAGATGTACGCATACGCAGATATTCGCATTCTTGAATATCGACGACAGATGTACGCATTCTCACATATTCGCATTCGCGAATATCGATGGTATGATCGCATTCGCGGATATTGACGGCAGATATTCGCATTCGCTAATATCGATGACAGATGTACGCATTCGCATTCGTGAATATCGTCTACAGATTTAACGCATTGCCACATTTTCGCATTCGCGAATATCGCAGACATGTTCGCATTCGTGAATATCGATGACCGATGTACGCATTCGCAGATATTCACATCCTTGAATGTCGATGACATGATTGCATTCGCGGATATTGGCGGCAGATATTCGCATTCGCTAATATCGATGACAGATGTTCGCATTCGCATTCGTGAATATCGTTGACAGATGTACGCATTCTCACATATTCGCATTCGCGAATATCGATGACATGTTCGCATTCGCGGATATTGGCGGCAGATATTCCCATTCGCTAATCTCGATGACAGATGTTCGCATTCGCATTCGTGAATATCGACGGCAGATGCATTCGCAGATATTCGCTTTCGCGAATATCGATGACATGTAGCATTCGAGGATATCGGCGGTAGATATTCGCATTCGTGAATATCGATGACAGATGTTGGCATTCCTGGATATCGACGACAGATGTACGCATTCCCACATGTTCGCTTTCGCGGATATTGGCGGCAGATATTCGCATTCACTAATCTCGGTGACAAATTAATTCGTGAATATCGACGACATATGTTGGCATCCGCGAATATACATAGATGACTTGTTCGCATTCGTGAATATCGATGACAGATGTACGCATTCGCAGATATTCACATCCTTTAATGTCGATGACATGTTCTCATTCGCGGATATTGGCGGCAGGTATTCGCATTCGCTAATATCGATGACATATGTTCGCATTCCCGAATAGCGTCAACAGGTGTGCATTCCGCAGATATCGTCGACAGATATTCACATTCACTAACATCGATGACAGATGTGCGCATTCGCAGATATTCTCATTCGTGAATATCGACGACAGATTTGCACAATCGCAGATATTTGCGTCAGCGAATATCGACTACATATATGTTTTCATTCGCGAATATAAATGACATGTTCACATTTGCGGATATCAGCGGGGGATACTCGAATGCGTTAATATCGATGACATATGTTCGCATTCGTAGATATTCGTATTCGTGAATATCGACGACAGATGTACGCATTCGCAGATATTCCCAATCGTGAATATCGATGACGGTAGATATTCGCATTTGCTAATATCGAAGACTGATGATCGCATTCGTGAATATCTACGACAGATGTACGCATTCGCCGATATTCGCATTCGCGTTTTCATTCGCCAATATAGATGACATGTTCGAATTCGTGGATATCGGCTGCAGATAATCGCACTGGCTAATATCTATGACAGATGTTCGCATTTGTGAATGTCGACGACATTCGTTAAACCACTACTCTTTCATTTTGGTACCAGAGTATGATAGAGAATATAATAATAAAGAATACAGAATTCGGGAATAAGGGTAGCTCACTGAGGGCAGTGTATATTTGATGCTGTCACAGTGTGGCTACTCATATAAACGAATTTTTACTCCACGATAACTTTCAAGATTAGAAGATTTATGACGTCACGTGTACACCTGTTTATTTTAGTTCCGCTATCGTCTAATAGATGACGCACCAGTGATTGGTAATTAGTAAGATTTTACGAGTGCGGTATTATTAGGAATTTCATGTTCTAAAGGTCTGAATCTTTTGTCGAGGTCAAATTGTTATACATTTTTGATTGAAGTTATTCGATCAGACAATTACTGTTTATTTTTTCATCAACAGTCCGATAGATGGCGCTGAATATCACTAAACATCACAAAGTCCACCATTTTGAATGACTACCTGGGGTTGCCGAAACTAGGTCAGTAAACTTTGATGCATGTGAGGGGGAGGGCGCTTTGTTTTTCAACAAGGCTAAGGTACCAGGTAATATTGGTGTCAGATAATCCAAAGAAATATTTTTTCATCAAAAAATTATTATTCAGCTACTCTCCAATAGATGACGCTGCATATCGGTAGCCACCACAAGGTCCATCGTTTTGAATGACTACCTTGGGCTGCTGAAATTGGTTCAGTAAGCCCGAATGCATGAGAGGAGGAGGGCGCTTTTTTTCAACTATTAGCTAAATCAGTACGCAATATTAGATATAAACTAACAAACTCTTTTCGCCACAAAAATGGATGGATTTTAACCCCCCTCACGAAAATTAAAGTTTCTTGATCTTGGGAGACGCGTTGCCATATTGCCGTCCCGATCCCCGACCAGCCTCCCCTTATAGATTCATTTGACTAGTTAAATTTTGTGTAGCTTGTGATAGCACTTTACATACAAACTCCATCTATGAGACGGTAGCCCAACAAAATATTAAACAAAATGTTTAGTTTGAAAGTATACCTTTAGGTCAGTTCTTGAAAATATAATTCGACATCGTTTTAAGCTCATTCTACTCTAATCTCAGCTATTCTCCATTAGATGGCGCTGCTTATCCATATCCATCACAAGGTCCACCCTTTTGAATCACTATCTGGGGTCACGAAGTTATGTTCAGTAAACCTCGATGAACGTAATGGGGAGGACGCTTTATTTTTTAACAAAGCGAAAGCAATACCTAATATTGCTATCTAATGGGATATTATCTTTCGTCAAAAAACGGGAACAGCAATCACAATTTGATATTTAAAAAATTTATTCGTTTAGCAATGATTTACCTAGAACATACATAGATAAATACAATTATTTACAACTCAATATAGTATATAATACAAACTCTTGTAGTCTTTATAAATAAAAAACTACGATTTTATTTTTAACAGGTATGTAGCTATGAAGGTATAACCCAGAAGTCTAACCATCCTTAAAAAATTCTAAACTCTAATTATGGTACTGTAAATGCCAATGTTCTTCTCTCAACCTAAAATGAATATGACATGCAGAAAAAAATAATTTACGTGAAATTTCAAAACTGTAGGTACTGCATACAAAGTGATATATTATCCAAATAAATTTGTGCAGCTTCACTCCAGCTCAAGTGAAGCATATTCTTCAGGAGAAACTTGTGTCATCATTAGGTTGCCATCTGGCAACATTACCACCACCTTATGGGTACCACCTGTAATTAAAAAAATCATATCATATTTGAACTTTATAAATGATATCTGTTGTAAATTATCAATCATTGATCAGACTGTTTTACAAAAATAACCTATCGAAATATGTAATGTATTGCGTTGCGGTCATCAAAAAATTGGAAGCACCTAAAAAATAAAATGACATGTTGATTCAACCGTCAACACCAGAGAATGCAATGCAAAGCTTAGAATCTGTACTTCGAACTTTCAGAGAATTTATAATCATCCTCGGGCATCTGAAAGACATATAGAGGATGATTTAAAAACATTGCCAATATTTATAGAGTAGAAAACACATTGAAAAGTAACATAAGTCTAAAACATAAAGTTCTATGCCACTAATGTGACATCGTATTTTTAAACTAGAAATGACTTATTAAGTAGATTTCTAAAAGATACAAAAAAACAGTCTGCAGTGAGTATGACCCCTCAAATGTTAAAACCCATCAAGTCATTTGGGATATAGCTCGTGAAATAGAAAATTCAAAGTTGAAGTTTGCCACAATTCCGATTTTATAAAATATTAGTACACCCAGTGACAATTGTACTGTTACGACACAGCTAGAGGCCCCTCATATGTCAAAATCCATCAACCACTTGAGATGTAGTTCGTGAAATTTCAGAACTGCAATTTTTGATTAAAATCCGCCATTCCGATTTTAGAAAATTGTAATATATCCAGTGTCGCTTGCACTGCTAAGACGAATCGAACACATCATGTGTCAAAATCCATCTAGCCATTTGGACTTGAGCCAGTGAAACTTACCCACGCGCGAAAAACATAACCCCCTTTCTGAGGCAGGTGGGTAAAAATACAATAGATGTATCAGAAAAGTCAGAGTCGTAGAAAATAATTTTCTATACTCTCCGGAGGTCAAAATTTTCCATTTTTCACGCCACTGCTGTGGTCTGAGTTACAAAAATGTTTGCTTCTACTACATGTAAGAAATTTTAAACCTTCATCCGCTCTGAAGATATATTTTTTTCGTCTTCAAAATTATAAAACTTCAACAAAATGTACATCAATAATAGTCTAATGATATTAGCAAATTTGCCTGAAATAGTTGTAAAGTTTGGTTTTATTGATGCAAGTTGTTGAAGGAGGAGGCATTTAAAAAATGGAAGCATAAAATGGGTACATCAATTTTTGTGGGAAATATTTTCATTCAACAACAAAGAATGAGAAAATGCGTTATTTGCGATTCAATCAAGTGTTGACAGGGACGAAAATGTCATTTGAACGCACCTTGTATATTTGCTCAATAAACTAATAATGAAGAAAACAGGTGGTTTGAGATACAAAATTAGAAATTCTCAAAAACAACTTCACCAATAGACTCCAATTTTGTTGTGATCATTAAGAAGTATGAAGCTTACGGATGTGAGGAATTTCGAATATCTTCTCAACAATATCGTCGCATTACCAACGAGTGCCAAAACTTGCATTTTGACTAGGTTTTAGGCCATAACTGTTTAGCTATTAGTCGCATCTTTTTATGTGTGGTCTCGTTTTGTAGGTCTCGTAAATACCTAAAAATCTTATCTGAAGAGTTTTTGTCTCTTCCAACACTTTTGATGTAATCCCATTCTTTTTGTTGAATGAAAAACTTTACCAAAAACATTGGAGTACTCATTTTAACTTGCAACAATAAAAAAAGCTTCACAATTATATCGCAAACCAGGGGAATTTCCGTCTAATATGATTATACTATAAGGGCGCATTTTTGGACCCATGTTTTGGTGTGATTTTTGTATTTAAATTCCACCCTGTTTTGCACAGCCGTGAAGTAACAGTCAATAAACTAAGCCCTGTGACAGAACCAGCTGTTTCTGTCTTGTATCAGCTCCCTAAATAGGTATGTTTAGCCACGCAAAACGCATCACGAAACTAAACATTTCAAAAAAAAATATGAGAAAACTTTTTCTTCTCCAAATAATACCAACCTGGACTAGGCGGTTCTGTTCTGACCACCTGCGCGACCACTTGGTCGTTGCCATCAGCATCGCCTTCAGCAGTATCCTCTCCAATGACTCCTTCATGCCCAGTGTTGATCGAAAGCGGTTCCGTGACGTCCGTCGTCGTGGTACCACCTACGTCCGGCATAGACATTTGCTGTTGCTGGTGCTGCTCTGCTTGCTGTTCCGCCGCTTGTTGCTGCTCTTCGTGTTGCTCCGCCTGTTGCTGTTGTTGGAGCTGCTGTTGTTGCTGAGCCTGGACGTCTTCTTCAGATGTCGTTGCGGCCGCAGCCGCTGCAACATCCGAGTCGGCCAGTTCGTTCGTGACCAGCAGGCACTGTTGTTGACCGTCCGCACCTAGAAAAATGGCGTCAAGTAGATTCGAAACAACTCCATGTTGCTCAATGGTATCAAAAAGACATAGGTTTTATCAGAACTTGTAGTACACCATTTGGGATTTTCACGGGAAAAATGTTTCAAGTCTCTTAGGGGCAATGTTGCGTATTTAGATAAGTAACAAAATGCCGCTAAAAAAGTTTCGAAATTCAAGGTACTTCGGGAGAGAGACGGAAAAAACACTTCCCAAAATGGTTTTAATTTTACCTAACTTTATTTATAGTAGAATTTAAAAAAAATTTCAAAATAACATTGCTACTTTTTCTCCTCTACGAGAAGGCATAATCAGAATTTTCATATGACGTTTCGTCTATTGTCCTCCAGCATCAACTTCATTCTTTCTTAAGGACGCCCTACTGTATTTTTGCATAGGTGAAAACAGTTTTTAATTATGATTCCAAAAATGTATAATGTGTGTCATACATTGAGATTGCCAAACCTTAATTATTTCAAATAACAGAATTTCCTAGATAGGCACTGAAGTTATCATTTATTATTTGTTTCATATACTAGATTTCATTTTTTATATTTTCCAGACTTTGAGATGAGATTTCAAAATAAATTGCGTGTTGTCATTGCTACTTTTTCGCCTCTACAAGATGGCGTAGTCAAATTTTCTATTCATTATATTGGAATTTTGTACGCTTAAATTGGATTTTCATTCCTAAATTCAGTGATGTATTTCCTTAGTTGACTATTTCTGTTCGATCGAAAATTATAAGGGACTAAAAAGGTATGGTTAAGTTATGACGTTAAAGACCTCAAACAGCAGCCTTGGAATAGCTTTGATAGTTCTTGACATTGACTGAACGTCCTCAATGTTTCGGAAATAGCTATTTTGGCTAACAACTTCGTACCAGTCCAATGTAAACCGTTGATGCACCGCATCTCAAACAGGAAGCATTGCATCTACTCGAGCATTTGCTCACCACAATATGAACATTAAAATTCTATTTCTTTTGTGTGTCTGGTACTTTCGTTGCCTAGCCTAATCACAAAACCTTGATGGATATACAAATTACCATCAAACTTCTTCGTTTATGAGAATTCTTACCTTGCGTGAGTAGTATCGTCTGCCCGTGCTCATTCTGCCCAGCCACTTGATACACGGTCCCATCATCCCCTGTAATAAATATCGGGTTGTCGCTATCTGCCAATGTGAAAGTGCCCAACTCTCCGGCTGTAAGCGTCGCCTGTTGTGAGGCGGCGCCATCAGCTGCTCCTTGTTGTTTGGCGGCCGCTTCCGCATCAGCTAACGCAGCTGCTTCCAGCGATTCTTGTTCCATAGCTGAAGCGACAGCTTGGTGCAAGGCGGTTTCCTGTTGGCTTACTACGCGACCGCCGACGTTCTTTTGTTCCTGTTGCGGGATCGTTTCTTCATCGCCTGGAAAGACAAAGGAACAAGGGAGTGATAAAAAAATAAAGGACCAAAATGACTAACTTAGATTCATAATCTACACACCCACACGGGTATTATGTATAAAACGTCAAAAAAACCTATAAAATGTCATCTTGCAGACTAGGTAGTTTTTAGTGTTCAAATAGTCATTCCACGTTTGCTCGCTAGGAGCGTCCATCTATGGAGAAATGGCTTAACTACACCACTACACGCATTGTCGGTTGCATATGTTTTGTGAAGCCGAGTAGTCTATAGTCTTTATCTCTGAGAGGAAAGTTGGTTGAAATGCAAACTCGCATCTGGATGATTGTGTGTATTGGTCTGCATGTTTATAAAATTAGTGATATTTGCTGTGAGAGACTATCAGTACTAAATATGCTGCTAATGAAGTATATCTATTAGCTGTGCACGACGGGTTATTTATACGTTGTCCTTTCTAAAGACAGATTATGTTCAACGTTATAAACTACGATTTTTTACGTTTTTTGTGTTTTTAAAAACTGAGGAGAGTTGCGGGAAAGCACCACCGCGCCCGCGTTGTGTGTAATTACTGTTAGCATGTATATGACCTGTAATTCGACAGTGTACAGTGAATATAATTACTTCTTATCTCTCTCATTTTTTAAATTCAGCAAATTTGCAAATGTAGTTTCCAGAATGGATAAGAATTCAACACACATTATTAGCACACAAATCCTCACTATGCCTCAGCTTAGACCTCCAGTAATGCCATTTTTAAAGCAGATTTTAGGATTTTACATCACATCAGAGACAAACATTGATTACTGAAGCCTCATGACGTTTAGACAACCCGTACAACTACAATACGAGTTCACAACGTGTCCATCAGCTAGTGCTAAGTTAACATCTTGTGGAAAAACCTACATAATGTCACAAAAAAACAATAAATGTAATCTCAAAAAAAATCGACATATCGCTTTTCAAGATCCGTAAAACCCGTGCCGATTTGCCTTCTCCATTGATCGTATTTTCGAGCATTGTACAATTTTATATTGAAGATTGATAACAGGAAAACTCGAATGGTAATTCATACTTCATGGTTTGTCAGTTCAATCTTGAATCTCTAGTGCGGCAACTACTACCTGTGGTAGCGCGAATACCAATGTAGCGACAGGATGATCCGATGAAGAAAACATCTAAAGGTAGAAGTACCAGGTAGATTCAATCCTTAGTATCGGGTACGCATACTTCAAGTAGCTGGTAGTTACAATAATGACATCAGTACTCACCAGACAAAGACGGCATACTAATAATAGTCCTAGGCTTATGATGCACCTTCTGCTGCATGACCTTTTTCTCCGTGGAGCGTACCACCATCGGCTCCTTCCGCTGGACGTACCGATGCCCACTAGGCGTCTGTACCACCCGCACTGGTTGCTTGCCACCAGCACCGCCTATTGGACTGCTGTTCACCAATGGAGTGCTGCGGATTGTCGTACTGCCGATGCGGCGAGTCATGGTAGGCGGTTGTTGCTGCACCACCTGAAATACGTACAGACCGTTTCAGATTGCACAATTTCGTGTGCAGACGTCGATATATAACGTATGGTTTTATTACATTTATTTAAAGATGTTTTCAGGAATTAGTTTTGGATCCTCTGCGAAACTGCCAAAAGTCAAATTTGTCAATGTCCGTAACCGAACCTTGTTATGACGTCCAAACTCTACAGCTAAAGGTCTAGAGTGGAGATATGTCACTAATATTCGGTTACTACAGTGGAATCCACTTATCATGAACTTGCTTATAATGGATACAATTTAAGGTCCTATAAATAATTGCATGTAAAATCCTCGGATATTATAGACTCGCTTAAAATAGACCCTCGCTTATACCGGACTATTTTAATCCACTACATGCGAGCTATTTTGGTAGTTCGCCGAAGCAGATTTAGCTGATGCAATCGTTTACGACGGTTTGGCTTCGCTGTTTGCATTCGAACTTGGCCACCAGAGCTGTACTGTATTTATTAGAATTATAAACATGTCGAAACGTGCGAAACGTGCATTCACTTTACACGAAAAGTTCACAATAATTAGTGAGCTGGAGCAGGGTTCATCTCAAGCAAATATATGTGCTCGTATGGCTATAAAATAATCCACTGTGTCAAATATTTGGAAAAACCGTGACAAAATTAAAAATGACTGGAAATTAAATAGTCAAAAGAAAAAAATACGACTATCGCTGCATCCCTAAATCAATGATATGCTGTTTAAATGGTTTCAACAAAAGTGTGCTAATAATTTTCCAATAAGTGGACCTATGCTACAAATAAAGGCTGAAGAATTTGGGAAATTAATTGGAGATTACTACAAATGTAGTTCCGATTGGATAGACAAGTTTAAGAAAAGACATAACATTGTTTTTGGAAAAATGTGTGGTGAGTCAGCTTCAGTTGACAAGAACGTTACCAATCACTGGATTTTTGGCCCGTAATATCCAGTGATTATTCAGATGAAAACATATTCATTTGCAGATAAAACCGGGATATTTTATAGAATGCTACCAGATAAAACCCATAAATTAAAAGGTGAAACTTGTAATGGAGGGAAACACTATCAAAAGAACGAATAACTGTTATGATTTGTGCTAATGCTTCTGGTACTGAAAACGGAAACTATTGATAATAGGTAAGCGAATGAATAGAAATTCATGTTCTAATTTTTTTATATTCAATGGCAGTGCTGCAAAGAATGTATGACCTTTTTTTGTTTCAGGGAAATTTAAGAATCCCAGGTGTTTCAAAAATGTTGTAACAATTCCCGAGGATTGTTAGAAATAATAAAGCTTGGATGACTTCATCAATTTTTGAAGAATATTTAAAAAAAGTAGGACGCTGAACTTGTTAAGAGAAATCGTAAAATTTTGCTCTTGGTCGATAACTGCCCCGCTCATCCAAATATTTCACTTAATAACATCAACCTTCAATTTTTTCACCCAATGTGACATCAGTTCTGCAACCAATGGACCAGGGTGTCATTTGGAGTCTTAAACAAATGTATCGGAAACATATGTTGAAAATTATAGCGCTTCAAGAAGATGTCAACATTACCAAAGCTGTCACCATTTTAGATGCTATAAATTTGCTTACTATTGCATGGGAATTGGTTGCTCCAGAAACGATTAGTAATTGTTTTCGCCATGCTGGTTCAGTGAATAACATAACTAAAAGAGTCAACGATTTTAATCCAGAAGATGAAATTCCATTGAGTGATTTACTGAAAATTAATAGTTTGCTGAATATAGACAAATTTAATGAGTATGTAAATGTTGACAATAACTTAATAGCAACACAAGAATTGTCAGACTCCAATTTGCTTAATGAAGGATCCGTTGATAACATACAGGAAGACAAAATAGAAAACAACGATGAAGAAGAGCTTCCAGTGACAACTAAGGTGGCATTAGACTGCGTGAAAAAGTTGCAACGTTAATTTCAGCAAGAAGAAGACAGTACAGCCACACTTACCAAATTAAATAAAATTCATCTTGCTGTTCTAAATAATTATACAAAAAAACAATCTGTTCAAATGAAAATTACTAGCTTTTTTACCAAATAAATTACGGTTTTTAGACATACCTACGCAGTACGTATGCCTGTACTATGTATATCAGATTATGTAAAAATACAAATTTCAAAATTACGTAAAACTTTTTGGTATGTATCTTTATTTATGTACAACATGTTAAACAAACACATTTTAAGCTTTTAATATGTTATTTCTGTTGCTTTTTTCATTAAACAAAGTGTTTCTTTTAAGATGGTCATCCGCCTATATAATCGAGTATTTGTCACAGTCCCGCCAAGTCCATTATAAGCGGGTTGCAGTGTATTTGGCCACTTTTTTGATATTCGGTAACTCGGCCGAATAGCAAGTCATGAAAAAGTCACATATTACTCAAAAATCAATATGTTTTACCAGCAAAGAGGTAAGTTATAATGGATTAAATTAAATCTGTTCAGCATTTTTTAATAGCAACCAACCTTTCCCTCATAACCTTGTGGAACAAATCTCATACACTGCCACCATTTTTATGGATTCTGTTAGTTTTTGATACCGTTGCCCGTTTGCTAACTACCATTTCTAAAAGTCTGCTGTCTGATATAGGTGAGCCGCTTTTAAATAAAAATCTCCTTTGCAATAGCACTTTCCATTTCCACATCCTCACCTCTCTCCGTATTTTCTGCAGCTGCCTCCTCAAAAAGTCACCGCAGACTGGTCGTAACCTGTCATCTGCGAAACATGTAATTACTAATAGAAATTAACGACGAATGTTCGGAGACGGAATATTTGGCCAAGAGCGTTGCCGGATATTCGGTATTCGGCAAAATCACTATACGTGACATATCTACTCTAGAGCCATAAATGGAAATCTTCAAGAAACAAACGACGAAAGCAATTAATATTGTTGGATTTAAAGACGACGTTTCGAATAAACTTACAAATATGAATAAAAAATTTGAGAAACACCTGGTGCCCTGGAAAGGTTTTTATTGTAAACGTAAACTGGTTCAAGAAGATTCGGCATGGTCTTCGATATCTCAATATTTCGTAAAGACGAGGCGAGAATCTCGCATTTGTGGGAGTAATTCCCCGATCTTTTTTTCATAATCATGTTGAATGGAGGCACTTAAACAAACAGTTTTGACCCGGTGCAAATTTATCTTAACACTTTTTTCAACAGATCACAAAAAAATGTTTTTTTTATCGTTTTATATGCGGACCATTAATATGGATATTTTCAATGCGAAAAACTCGGTTACAAATCATAGTACACAAGAATGTCTAAAGTGTCTAAATTAAAGTTCAAACCTTCCCCTACAAGAAACCAAAAATTATGTTGGTCTTAGTTTAGAAGATATGATCTGAATTTAATGTGTACAAAACGGGATATGGAGATTGATGTATGAAATAAAAACAAATAAGTAGTGATTCTACATAAAACAGAGTTTAAAAACATGAGATACGGTCTATAAAACAACAATGTCGGTAACTGCCTTCGTGAACTAAAAATACTGCAAGACAAAAATATGAACAGAATTCCATATTTTTTGGCCAAATCAAACAACATAATATGTAGTAATTATTCTCTACTGTCATTTCGACCTTCATGGAGGCTTGTTTCAAAGTACACAAGAATGCGGACACTTTTTAATATCGACCTTAGTATCTAACAGGACGCAGGAATGTAGGGTGTTTATTGTACCAAAAAACGTCGCAGCCCCAGCTGAGATTTCGGTAGATGGAATTCATATACTACGGGAAATTTCTGCTAAGTACCTTGAGGTCATCCTTGATAAAGGCATGACCTGGCAGAAACATACAGCAGCATTGTAAACAACATTCCAAATTCGTTTCAGCAACTATTTCCCTTGATATGTACGCCCTCCACATTGAGTTTGATAAACAGTGGGACTCTATAAAATGATTAGACCAGCCATCACTTAGGTGACCGTCTGGTGTTTTCTGGTCAAGAGACGTGCAAAATCTTCATTTATTGCAAAGCAGAACTTTACGAACAATGTGCAACACACCATGGTATGTCTCAAATGAGACATTACACAGAAACATTGATATCCCTTACTTGAGGGATTATGTCAAGCTTCAGGCGCAGCGACGTTATAGTCAAGCGTAATCACACAGCAACATTCTGTTGCGTGACTCAGTGGACTACACAGTGGAGGTAGTTCGTAAACATTCAAGGCTTTGGCTTGAACTGTGATCAAAAATAAGCGCGAACTTTTAGTAACTCCAAAATTACACTCTAACAAAATCTGAATCAAAATTTGTGTTCAGTACATCCCAAACCAATCCGTGTACCAAATCAAAGAGCCTTTGTTTCCTCTTAAAATGATACATTTATGTTTTCTTGGCCCTTTACCGTTTTTCCTCTCTCCTTTTTCCTGACAATGTCTGGTTTTTGGGCAACCAGGATTGATAGATTCAACCAGCGTACTTTAGGCAGTGACTAACGGACAGAGGTCCTACGACAAAAAAATGAATAGTAGAACGCAGGATGGTATGTGTCATCTGCAAAAAAGACATGACGGTTGCGTGACATTTTTTTGTCCCGTGATTGCGATATAACCATTTTTGCAATACAGACGTACAGACGCTCAACAAGTGTGTGCTACGATTAAAAGCTGAAAAAACTAAGAAGTCCATTGATTACAATGATAGAGTCCACTATATTGAAGCAAGTAAAGCAAACCGAATAATTCAGAATGCTCACCTTGGTAGTATAGTAAACCTTCTGCGTAGGCGACTGCTGGACGATTTGCGGCTGCGACTGCTGCACGATTTGCGGATGCGACCTCACAACCCTATGCACCTGCTGGGTTTGTTGCACCCTTGGTTTGGGAGCCTGCGGTCTCGTCCTTGTATATGTTTGCTGGTGATGAGCACCAGCCGCAGGTCTGACGATGGGATTCAGCACGGTGGTACGAGGTACAACGTGTTGAACGACGCGCTGCTGGACGATGCGCTGTTGGGTGCCTCCCGGGCCTACTTGGAATATAGTACGTTGTTGCTTGGGTGGTGATGTCGTTAGAGCGCGATTCAGGATTGAAGCGCCTTGTGCTTGTTGGCCACCGGAAGACTGACGACGAATGGTAGAGCCTGATGATGTCTGTAAGAAACGTAATAGGTAAATGTCAATAAATGTATAGCGGAATACTTTAATTAGAGCCCCGCCGCCTTGAAGCTTTTCCTTGACTTTTATACCTCAAGGTATAAACAAAGAGTAGTTATTTAGGGTGTCCCAGAGGTCGACGTCAAGCCGGAAACGGGGGATAGGCAAAGTCATAATAGTTATTAGAAAAATCTAAGTCGTGTACTAAATTGTAGGGTTTAAAAAGATCGGAAAAATCTACACCCTGTGATGATCTTTTAGGTTCCATTACTACATATTTCAATTTTTTCTTAGACGGGGTGGCGGACAGTGTCAATCTACGTAGTGACAGCAAGACAGATAGTAACGCCACTTTTATTAATTCGTGAATGTATTTATTAAATTCACAATAAACTGGCTCCCTTTAGGAACAATGCAAGCTTTACATCGGGTTATCAGACGGGCGAATCTTCCTTTATTAGCAAATTCACCTGCAGAATTGTGTCCCGTAGCGCACCTAAATTTTCGATTGGCTTCGAGTAAACATTTTCTGTCACCGCCCCCAGTAAAAAAATTGAGCGGGATCAAGTCAGCTAAACAGGCTGAATGTACCATATCGCCCTATCCGTGTGATCGGGTATTTCGCATCAACATATTCTCTAACTGAACGTGCACTGTGCGCGGGGCAGCCGTCTTGCTTTTACCACATGTCTCTGTAAATGTTTAGTGGCACATCTTCCAATAAATTTGGTAAAAGATGATGATGATGGTCTAAATAAATTCCGCCGTTCAAGAACTCTGGCAGCTCAAAGGGTACAATGAATTCTCCCATTAAGGATACCAGTCCACACGTCTACTTTAAAACGGTACTGTGATCCATCTTGCCTCATCAAATATGGATTTTCTACATGCCACTCGTGTAAGTTGTGTAGATTCATGTATCCATCTTTTTTAAATGCCGACTCTTCTGTTTATAATATTTTCGGTAGAAATCACTGATCTTCCCGGTGTCTCTGTTAACATTGTTTGACAACGCAACCCGTTGTAGAGATTTTACTCGGTGTACGTGGTACGGGTGGAGCTAGTACTTTCGTAAGATTTGGTGGGCTGTACTTTGGGGCACTCCCGTGCTTGCTTCTACAGGGTGCGTCATCTATTACTTTTTTTCTATTTGAAAAATTAACACGCTTTTTACGAGGTGAAATCGAATTTTTTTATTGATAACTGAAGATTGGTTTATGCCATTTATGTAAGAAAAATAACATCAGTCATGTGACCACCGCGGCTTCGTTTACAGGCCAACATCCGAACATCAAAATTTTCAATGACTTTTCCCAGAATAATCGGGTCTATGGCCGCAATTTCAGTCCGAATATTGCGCTTCAGGTCTTGAATTGTCCGGGGACCATTCGCACTCACTTTTCCTTTCAAAAATCCCCAAAGAAAATAGTCAAGAGGTGTTAAATCGCACGATCCCGGGGGCCAATTGACATCTGAATTTCGTGAAATTATGCGGTCTTGAAATTTCGTGTGCAATAAGGCGATTGTTTGGCGAGATGTGTGAGCCGTTGCTCCGTCTTGATGAAACCAAAGATCGTCGGCACCAATACGATCCAATTGTGGCCACAAAAAGTCTGTTAACATGCCGCGATAACGTTCCCCGTTGACGGTAATGGCATTTTCTTCGGCATCTTCAAAGAGAATGGTCCAACGATGCCACCAGCCCATAATCCGCACCAAACAGTCACTTTTTCAGGATGGAGAGGTTGTTCATGATATTGGTGTGGATTTTCAGCCCCCCAGAATCTGCAATTTTGCTTATTTACGTACCCATTGAGGTGAAAATGAACCTCATCAGAAAAGAGCACTTTGGCCGAAAATCCGTCTTCTCTTTCCAGCGTCCAATTAACAAAAACACGCCGCTTTTGATGGTCTGCCGGCTTCAATTCTTGTGTCAGTTGGATATTGTATGGATGGAGGTGTAAATCAATGTGTAAAATCCGGCGTAGAGTGGTCTCACTAATTCCCAATTGTTGCGAACGGTGCCTAGTCGAGGTGGTTGGATCTTCTCGCACACTTTCACTCACTGCGGCTATGTTTTCACGAGTACGAGCTGGACGAGCATGTTGGTTTGGTCTACGATCTTCCGCTGAACCAGTTTCCTCAAAATGATTAACAATCCTACGAATTCCAGGCTCTGTAGGGCGTAAATGTCGGCCAAAACTATTATTATATTTCGACCGTTTTCGTAATAAGTTTGGAGAACCAAAATGCGTTGTTGTGTTGTAAACGAATCCATGACTATAAATGGCATACCTTTGACAGTTTATTTATGTATACCACATGACTTTTGACTCACATGGTAACACAAACTTATAGGTAAAAAAAAAGTAATAGATGGCGCACCCTGTATTTGATGTACTGAAGTACTCGGGTCTTCTTCGACTGCTTGTAGTAAGACTTCCTAGTGAGGAAAGGAAATTCTTCCTTCATTATGTGCTTGATTTGGGAATCTTCCCACGGCATATCAAGAAACATACATCGCAGAACACAAAAAGGTGGCAAAAGTGACATCTGTGGCAGAATACGGAGTTACCAAATATCTCTTTCCCGCAGGGTCGACACATTTGTTGACTATGAAACAGGAGCATCTCTAATGCTACACCTCCTCTCTCCTAAGACTGTCTGAGATGCACTCAAGTCAAAGAATACAAAGTTACCAGTAGAAGGGGCACTCGCAAAAAATCATTTGATCTTCTGACTTCTACACATGCCGACATTTTTTCCAAGAACTCGGATCCTTTTTTAAGGTGCTTCACTTGAAAAGGTCCTGCACTTTTTTATTGCTTTATACAGGGTGGTGCTGTCGTAGTTTGGCGCACACACGAAATAGGTTGTCAAAAAATTGTTTGCAATGCCATCGAGTAATTGTATTTATACAGGATGATTCATGTCATTATTGTTTTTATGGCATGGGCAATGGATGACAAATATCCTCTGCTTATAAAATTGCGAGTTGAAAAATAGTTTTCAGCCTCTACGTCACTGAGTGGCGACGATTAATCTGTCGTACTATCTTCTTTGTTGGTATGTAACCTCAGTAACCACTGTGCCGATTTTGTCAAATCTTAGAATATAACGTATGGTCACAAGTTTGAAAATAAATGCGGACTTATGTATAATGTGAAATAAAATGAGCAGTAGAAAACTGTTCACAAGAGTTAGTGAGCTGACTGACGCCCAATACTTCAGTTTCCAGTCGTGTTCCTACGATGTCTACATAAGCCAGCTCAACAAGTTCTTTGAAAATATTTCCTCCAGTTCCGTAACATATTCAACGAAGCTCCGAAAAGGCACTATCAAGCCTGCAAATTGATGATGGGTTATTTTGGAAATTAGAAGTAAAACTACACATCACATTTTTGTGATACAGCGTTTTTGACACTAGTACACACTCATAGGGAAATTTTGAATGGATCTCCTTCGTCGATTACACCTCGACCTGAGCTACTGTATGTAAAAACGGATTCCAAATATGCTGGAATAACAATACTTGCCTAAAATCATTAGCAAGGCAACGTAGCATCGGCACGGGTAGTAAGTATCTTGAAAAGTGACATTTCGTCGATTTTTTTGTGACATAACATCCAAATGGCAGGTAGTATTACAGCCACCAGAGCTTTCATCTCAGCCAACGCGGTAGAATCTGCTTTTTCGACGGAGGAGCTCTTCTACTGATAACTGTATTCTGTGACTCAAGTTTCCCTTAAAACACGACTATGAAATAACGCACAAATAGAATAGTGAAATATCAAAATACTTACCCTCACAAGAGTCCTGTGATGCGTCACTGTACCAGGTGACGGTGCCCCAACCACATCCCCTCTCCTGATAATCAAGGGCGTCTGCTGCTGCTTCCTCACTTCCTCTTCACTCTCTTGCTCTTCATAGTGCGGTTCCTCTTCCACCGGCTGCTGAATGGTGGGCTCTTCAATGTCCATTGGCGTTTCGCTCTTCAGGTCCTCTTCGGTGATGTCAGCCGCGGCCAGTTTGACAATATTGTCCAAGGTATCGGTTGCTCGTTCTTCTTCCATTGGTTCGGGTTCAGGTAGGGGTTCTGGGTCGGGAGCTGGAGGGTATTCCACTCCAGCTATTTTACCTATTGAGAAGATATTTGTATGAATAGAAAGAATTGGAGCAAATAAAAATAGTTGGAAATCCACTTCTACTTGCTCAGAATCTCAGAAACATACAAACAACTGTCTGCTGATTCTAAGTGCATACTAGGATCCACTTCTAGAGCGCCATATTCCGTCAATTTTCACATAAAAACAACAAAATGCCGCTTAGAAAGTTTCGAAATTCAAAGTACTTCCGGAGGGAGATGAAAAAAAAAGAATTCTTCCAAAATCGTTATAATTTTCCCTGACTTTATTTGTAGTATGATTTTAAAATAATTTGTACGTTAAAATTGCCACTTTTTCTCCTCTACAAGATGGTATAATTACAATATGACGTTGTGTCTCTCATCCTCCAGTATCAACTTTATTTTTTCTAATGAACGCCATTTGGATTTTTGCACGAATGAATAGTGATAGAAAATATATACGAGTATGTCATGCACAGACATTACCAAACCTTAGCTAATTCAAAATAATAGAATTTTTAAGGTAGGCCTTAGAATTATCTTATAGTCAGATCGGATTTATCGCAAAAGGAATATTTATTTTCTGGTTTTATTTGAAACAGGATTTTGAAATAAATTGCTTAATAGCATTGCTACTCTTTCTCCTCTACCAGAAGGCGTGGTCAAATTCTCAATTGGACGTTTCTGCTTTCGATCTCCATCATCAACTTTGTTTTTTCTTATGAACGCTATAATAAAATGTCGCACAATCGAGCACAATTTTTGATTCTGCATTTAGTTATGAATATAATACATACATTTATTTATGTCACGGTAAACTTCACATATTTAATTAATGTAATATATTTTTATGTTAGTAGTATTTAAATGTACAAAATTCAAACATAGCGCATCCATATGAAAAAACAAAGTTTTTGATGGAACTCAAAAGAACAACAAATTGAAAATTTGATTATGCCATCTTGTAGAGGAGAAAATGTGGCAATGATGAAAAGTTAGGAGAAAAAAAAATGATTTTGCGAACTGATATACGAAACAAGGTATATCAGAAAGTTTGTTATTGTCTAAGTTTCAAGTGCAGTCTTTAGAGCTGAGAAGGAAGTGTGCGTCAATTATTTTCTTGCATACACTGCTGCACAATGAAATTGATGCTAATGAGATTGTGGCTCAACTAAACTTCAATGTCCCATCTATTTGATCTTAAAACTTTTCATTGCGACAGGGCTTGCACAAATTTATTTATGAAAGCACCCATATATGAAATGTGTGAAACTTTTAATGCCATATCTTATTATTGTGATCTACATGCTGACAGTTTGAACAGCATTCTGGGAGTAGATTGGAATTACTTAAACAATCTATGATGTGTTTCTCACTTAAGCGAAATATGTTTTTTGCCTCTTTTGTTTGTTTTTGACTTTTGATAGAATCACCTGCTTTTTATATGTTTTCAATTTTTGTTAGTTTGATTTATCGTTTCTTAGGTTTCTTTAACTATTAGACAATAAATGCTATTTATTTATTTATAAATGACTGAGAATTTCAAGGCCTACCTCGGAAATTCTATTTTTTGAAATAACTGTGGTTTGGCAATGTCAATGTTCGACACGTTTATATATTTTTTGATCAAAATTATAAATTCTACTCATCTGTGCAAAAATCCAATGTGGCATTCATAAATAAAAATAATGTTGCAGGTGGAGGACAATAGACGAAGCATCATATTGAAATTCTGATTATGCCATCATGTAGAGAAGAAAAAAATAGCAATGTTAAGAATTTATTTCAAAATCCCACAACAAATAGTCAGGAAAAAATGAAACGATTTTGTGAAAACTCGGTTTTTCCCGTCTCCCTCCGGAAGTACTTTGGAATTCGAAACTTTCTAAGCGGCATTTTGTTAATTACCTGAATAGGCAACTTTGCCTCAGTTTAAATAAATAGTATTTTATACGCTTATCGAAAGTTATAAGCATATCATAGACTATTTACCACAATAGTACAAGACATCAGCATTGAAACAGCTGCTGATGTCCATGACTACATTTTAACTAAAGTTTGCAAATCATGCAACGTCTGCAATAAGAAAAATCATATGATGGATCTTTTCTAAGGTTCACAGCTTACCAGTAATTGGATCAAGAACAAAATCACCAGGTGGGCTGTCAGGTTCTGGTATTTTGATCTCATCGGGGAATGGTAGTTCTTCGAGCCCATCATCTGATTCGTCCTGTAGACCACCTGAAACACAATGGAGGAGTAATTTCATTAAATTTTTTTGTTCTTCTTTAGCATAAAAATTAAATCAGCCCAGTTATCAAATAGCTGACGGTCGACCTAGCTAGAAATTTTGAATGTTCATTGTCATGTAGGGTTATTCTTATTTTCTCCCAGCAAATATCAGTAACTTTTCAGAAACTTGTTCATATTATGATTACCAAAGCAACGATTTTTTTCCAAATTTATGCAACAGACCCTGAACTAAAGTCTATAAATTGACACAGTCATTGCTTCAAATACGCCAAAATAACATATGAAATAGTCCAGTATATACAGTAATGGACAAAAGTATATAGACCAATATGAATATTTACCTAAGTACCTTTAGAAAACGAATTCATACTTCATTGCTCCATAAACAAATGCGTTATTAGTAGAAAAACTAAATTCCTCGTATTTACCTTATCTGCAGTGGACAAAATATGTAGACAAATTCTTTTCAACATTAGTTTAGTACAGTTTCCTGTCAGAAGAGGATTAATTTGTGTTCCATTGTCATGTAGGGTTATTCTTATTTTCTCCCAGCAAATATCAGTAACTTTTCAGAAACTTGTTCATATTATGATTACCAAAGCAACGATTTTTTCCAAATTTATGCAACAGACCCTGAACTAAAATCTATAAATTGACACAGTCATTGCTTCAAATACGCCAAAATAACATATGAAATAGTCCAGTATATACAGTAATGGACAAAAGTATATAGACCAATATGAATATTTACCTAAGTACCTTTAGAAAACGAATTCATACTTCATTGCTCCATAAACAAATGCGTTATTAGTAGAAAAACTAAATTCCTCGTATTTACCTTATCTGCAGTGGACAAAATATGTAGACAAATTCTTTTCAACATTAGTTTAGTACAGTTTCCTGTCAGAAGAGGATTAATTTGTGTTCCATGCCGCGTGATCCAGAAATTTCTTTCGATGTGAAAACTAAGATCATTGAGTTATACAAAGATGGTCAACGTCAAGTTGACATTGCCAAAAATTTGAAGGTGAAACATAAAGCAGTTTGGGCAATATTGAACAAATATAAACAGAAAGGTATCTTGGAAGCCTCTAAGTGAAGTGGTCGGCCTAGAAAACTAAATGCTAGATCAGTTAGATTAATAAAAGTAATTTCGTCCAAAGATCCGTTTAAAACCCGAAGATAAGTAAAAGTCGAAATCGAGACAAAAGGAATTGTCAGTGTTTCTACGAAAACTATAAGTAGAAATGATGAAATTAAATGATTTGAAGTTATTTGCACGTCGTCCGAGTAAGAAGCCGCTAATCTCGAGGAAAAACCGTAAGGACCGATTACAATTTGCACGGTTACATCTTGATTGGAGCATCTGTAACTGGAACAGGGTATGTTTTAGTGACGAATCCAAGTTCAATATGTTTGGATCAGATGGTGTTCATTACGTTAGACATCCTAGTGGACAAAGATTGAACCCCAAGTACACTTTGCCCACTATCAAACATGGAGGCGAGTCTGTTATGGTTTGGGGTGCTTTTCGGGGTTTGGGATGGGACCTTTACATAGAATAGATGGCATTTTGGATAAGTTTGAATACACAGACATACTAAAGCATGTCATGTTACCCTATATGGAAGACAATATGCCCCAGCAAGATAATGACCCGAAGCACACTTCAAATCTCGCAAAGAAATTCTTTCTGGATAAAAAAATACCAGTTCTCAAATGGCCTTCACAGTCTTCCGATTACCATATTGAAAATATATGGGAATACTTAGATAAGCAAATATGAGATAAAAATTATTCAAACCAGGATGAACTTTTTGCCGCTTTAGAGCAAAAGTGGAGACAGGTTGATGAATCTTATATCAAGAAGCTTCTACAATCTATGCCGAGATGATGCCACGCGGTGATTGATAATAACGGTTATGCTACAAAATATTAACACAAACATGGTTGGTTTTCTATAATTCAATGAACTTTGCTTTTTGTTTCTATAATTGTTTTGCTTTGTCTATATATTTTTGTCTTTCATAGTTCCAGTTTTTTTCAATTACTTTTTTATCGAAGGGAGTCTAATGAATTTATGTATAAGTGAGTATTATGCTATAACAAATTATGTATGCAGGTTGATGTATTAATAAAACAAGTTAAAAAAGAAATACAGCATAGTTCCAGTTTTTTTCAATTACTTTTTTATTGAAGGGAGTCTAATGAATTTATTTATAAGTGAGTATTATGCCATAACGAATTATGTATACAGTTTGATGTATTAATAAAACAAGTTAAAAAAGAAATACAGCACAATATTAATTTGTCTATATACTTTTGTCCATGACTGTAGGTCGCATGCAAGTAGTTAATAAGTGTCAGAATTATTTGACGAAAATTAACTAGTTTCATATAGATTGTGCTGAAAAGATGTTGTAGATGAACAAATGGATGGACACATTGCATTAAGTATAGATTGTGCTTTTCAAAAAGGCATGCTACTTTTTGAATAGGTCAAGGCAGCAGCGGTGGCCGCAGTAGTAGCCTCTTCGGTCTCCTGATCAGTCGCCGTCCGCTGTGCGGATTCTAATCCCGTCCCAAGAGAAATTTTTCTCTTGGCTATGTATGTTGTGATTGTCCATAGGTGGTAGACGATCTCTGACTGTCGAACGCGGAGGTACAACCCGGCGGATCTCGTAGGCACACGTGTTCCCTCGCCGTGTGGCGTTCCCCCTTTCCCCTGTATCCCCTTATAGCTCCATGTTACCCCATGGATGTTTAGGCCTGAGGCCTTCGTGGTAGTTGGAGTATAAAAAAAGTTATCCTGCTGAAATATGGGGAGGTAAAATTAAAGCAGAGTACCATATTTCAACAAAGTGACAATTCAAAATTTTATGGCTAGGCGCCATGCTGGAATATTGTTTTTAATGGAATGGGAGGTCACATTGTGATACCTCATGTTGAAACATCTTCTCAGTACATTATATAACTCTAAAATATAAATTTACTATATTTGAAAATGGCGGACATACTATCAAAGTTGAACGTTTTTGTACATTAAGTCACTTATAATGAAATGAAAGTCCTGACAATTATGTACGATACGATTTAAGGATTAACTGTGGAGTTATAAGCAACTCAATATACAAAAATCCTTAACTTTTACAGCCTGCCAATGCATCATTTTGCGAGACATTCTAGCGCTACAAAGACTCATAAACACCTTCAAAATGTGTTATCATATGATTCCCCATTCAATTCAAAACTGTTCCAAAATAGCACCCAGTCACCATCCTTGAATTCTCAACTTCACTAAAATATAGTATTCATGCATAAATTTCATTACCCCGACTTTCAGCTCACTGACTTGACCAGTTCAGAAAATAATTCGGTGGGAGAGACGTTTTTTGAAAAACATCGTATAAATAAAGTGTGTTTTTGGGTAGTTACATAGTTTTATAATCTTAGTTTAGTACACGAAGAAGTCTCATTCCATTATTACCCCCCTCCCTCAGGAAGGTCAAGGGACGGATGTAGACCCCTCTCCTAGGCGCCCAAGTCTGCCATTTTTTCAAGAAAATAGTGTATACCTGAATCCTGAGAGGTGCCCCCAATGAACTTTCAACAGGCGTAACGCGAATTCATTGCGGCTAGAATGAGAAACGAGAAGGATAGCGCTAGTCAGGGCAAAACATTAGCAAAACATCGTGGTCCATTGTGGTATTTCCCTATATGTTCTAAGGATTTTTGGTGAATGTTTGTTTTTAGTAACGTTAAAGATTAATAGTGATAGTTTGCGACAATTATTATAAACGTTTTTATGCCGGACAGCCTTCAAGAGCTGTTGTTTTATGTGATACTTGTTTAAAAATGGTTGAATCTTGCAGTGCGGTGAATTGTTACAATAGACGCAGAAAAGATGTGAAAATGAAGTTTCACAGGTTGGTTTTAATCATCTAACTCATTTTTGTGTGAAAATTACCTGTTAATTGGTAATTCGAGAAAATATCTGGATTTTTAGGATACCTACAGATCCTAACATGAGGAAGTTGTGGTTACATGCTATAAGAAGAGAAAACTCCCAGTACAACAACGGTAATTTGTGAAAAGCATTTCACTCCAGAGGATTATGAAGTTAGTGTCCATGGAAATAAGGTACCAAAAACGGTGGCAGTTCCATCTGTGTTTGATTTTCCAGCCCATATATAGGCTTGAAGGATTTTGACATTGTGGTTGGATTCGTCTTGCAGTGCCAGTGATACTAGGTATATTAAAATTTTATAAAATCAAAACGACGGATTTTAATCGAAAATTTCATCTCTTGATATTTGTTTTACGACCTACAGCTTAAATGGCTGGATGAAGCAATGTAAGTTGTCTATAGATTTGTCTTGAAATGTGACTAACAATAAGTATATAAAAGTTTTATAAAATCAAAATAACGAGTTTTTAACGCAAATTTCAACATTGAATTTTCTATTTCACGGTTTACAGCCTAAACACATAAACGGATTATGACATGTATGGTGTCCGGCACAAAAGTGTTCAGTGTCCCGTCCGACCGAAACATCTACTGCGGTCGAGTTTCTTTTATCTTTTAAATATGCACTTGTTGAAACGCAATTTTCTATTGGCTGTCCGTCACTTACCACCAGATTGTTCGGTCGTCTTCTTCGCAGGATCCGCTTCCTTAGACTTGGCAACGATCTTGGTAGCCACCTCTATAGCCTTTTTCATATCCGGCGTCTTCTTCATCACTTCTGTGTTCGGTTTCTTGGCTGGCAGTGTTTCGCCCAACTTGACACCGCCGCTCTCCACGCGCTTCACTTTGGTGATGATAGGCTTGTACACCTTTACTGGTGGCGTTGTCTTTGTAGGAACTACCTTCTGGCCGAGAGCTGTAGAGAAAACGCATTTCAAAAACCTCAGTAGTCATGCAATCTGATTTTTTCAAAAGACAAATCTGTGTCATGGAGAAAAGTACTTTCTGGGCTTAATATTCTATTTGAGTTTAAATAGATTGAAATTTCAAATAACTTTCAGCGTTTATTAGTAATAATAATGTAAGAAGTCCGAAGAAATGTTCTAGTCTCATACAGGATGCTTCAGAACTAATGGATCAAACTTCTAGTTGTTTTTCAGTCTAACAGTAGAAAACATTGGAGTATAGGGACCCATATTCGGAAAAGTGTCACTACGGCCCTAACACGCGTTCAAATTTAGAAAGACGTTGAATTGACTAAATAGGATTTAATGCATTTAATAATAATAATAATAATAATAATAATATGTCTTTATTTTTTAGATAAATTGTAACAGACAAAAAAAAACTCATTTGATGAGGGAGGCGGCATTCAACATAGTTGCTCTTCCATGCAACCCCCGTAAATAATACAATACTAACAATTAGATGATAATGAGCGAATAATGATGGGTGTAATTAATACAACAAAAATAAAACTAACTATTGTGCTCTTTTCACATGGGATTTGACTCTATTTCGGAAGCTGCTAAGTGAGATCGAATCTTTTACTGCATCTGGCAATGAGTTATACATGGTAGATGCAACATAAGTAAATGAGTTTTTAAACTGTTCAGTACTATGTAACGGAACATCATAGAGATTACAAGAACGAGTTTCCCTAACATGAAGATCCGATCTCTTAACAAGTTTGGTATATAGGTAAAGTGGCAGCTGGGTTTTGTTAATATTGTAAGTTAAGCAAGCAAGATGTATCAAAAAGCGCTCATGCATGTTGAACCAGCCAGAGGCTCGAAATTCGTCACTGAAGTGGTCATATTTTTTCAAACCGTACGAAAATTTGATGCATGAGTTCTGAATTTTTTGAATAGAACGTTTGTCTCTAGTAGTGAGAGCAGGCCAGTATACAATATCAGCATATGACAAGGAAGACAATATCAACGAATCGCATAGATTCAGCCTGACTTCAGTAGAGAGAGCATTCTTGTGAAGATAAAAAGTCCTTAATTTAGCATAAGCTTTTTGTAAGAGATGCTTAACGTGGGGAACAAATTTAAGAGTATTATCCATATATAATCCCAGATTTTTACATTGGTTGCTTGCTTGCAATACAGTGTTATTAATGCAGATTCTAAAATTCTGATTGTCAGTAACCTCACACGGTCTTGATCCAAAAATAAGCAATTCAGTTTTATTTTCATTTAATACGAGGCTGTGGGCTCTTACATATCTAGATAAGTACTCAAGATCGGAATTGATACGCATGCAGGCAACATAAGCATCATCAAGTTTAAAAGAGTAATACAATTGTGTATCATCTGCATATTGGTGTGTACTGCAAAATTCCAACTGACTTTTCAAATCTGACGTATACAGTGAAAACAACAAAGGTCCTAAAATACTACCCTGTGGCACACCTCTGGTAATACTACGAAATTGAGATATGTGCCCATTAAATTCAGTGCACTGAGATCTGCCTGACAGGTAGCTAATAAAGAAATCTACAGCCATATTGCTTAGTCCCAGAGATTTAAGTTTCAAACATAAGATTGAATGATCTATTGTATCAAAAGCTTTACTGAAATCGAGCAAAATCAAGCAACTATACAACTTATTGTCACATGCTCTGAATAAGTCATCTGTAACGGTTGCAAGTGCGGTTGTAGTACTATGGCCAGAGCGAAAGCCCGATTGTGTGACAGGAAGTATATTATTAGATGTAATAAATGTTTTTAGTTGGAAAGCTACGATTTTTTCCAATATTTTCGAAAAGGTAGGTAGAATACTTATAGGGCGAAAATGAGAAAATTCTTTTGGATTACCGATCTTTGGGATAGGAATAACTCTAGAGTATTTCCAGCTGGACGGAAAAGTGTTGTTAGCAAGGCAAAAATTGACAATATAAGTAATTATGTTACTTAGATAAGGAAAAACTAGTTGAATCATCTTGAGGTCAATCTTGTCAGTACCAGATGAATTAGATTTTATTGACATTAATACGCGCTCAATATCTTCATCACTCACCAAACGGAATGAAAATTCATTGTTAATATTACGATCAGATACATATTGACTTGCGTCAACGCCAGATGAGATACTACTGGAAGGAACACCATCAATGAAGAAGTTGTTAAGTTCATCTGGGTCGTACTTCAGACCATTAATGTCAGAGTGACTGTTTCGGATATTGAGATAGTCCATAGCTTTCCAAAATTCCTTAGAAGATAATTTTGATTTTGACTGTAAAAATGCTTTCTTTTCAGACTGTATTGAGAAGTTGAGCAAATTTCTTAAATTCTTATAATATTGCAGCGTCTCCTGAGTCTTATACCTCTTATACCTTAAAAAAGCTTTTTTCTTAAGCTGTTTCATCAATTTTAAGTTATCTGTCCACCAAGGAGCTGGTCTCTTAGTGATTCTAGCAGTTTTATACGGAGCATGCCAATCAAAGACGTTAGAGATATTAATATCCCAAAATGAAATGATGTCATCAATATTTTGCATATGATAAATAGCTTGCCAGTTTATCTGCAGTAGGTCATGAACAAAATAATCGTAATCAAATTTAGAAAAGTCACGGTATGTTCTAAAAATAGGAACGAACCTATCAGCAACGAAAACCGTATTACATTCAACTAAGGAATGATCGGAAATGTCATCCATGTTAATAACAGAATGAGATGTAACTATGTTAACGTTTGAAGTAACAATTAAGTCTAGTATACTACCACTGGCTGGACGAGTGCTTGAATCTATAATCTGAGACAGTTCATATTCATCTAAAAATTCCACAAGTTGGGCGGCTATGTTGCTGGCTTTACTAAGGTCAATATTAAGATCGCCACCGAAAAGTGTTTCATCAAATTCTGACTTGACATAGGTAATCGCATTTTCAAGCTCGTTGAAAAAGTTATTGACATTAGAATTAGGAGGACGATATAATGTACCCAAACAAACCGATTTATTACTAATTTTTAGTTTTATCCACAACTGTTCCAAGTCGGGTGAGATTGATGAGTCAACTACAGAAAATGATAAGCAATTTTTAATATAAAACGCCACCCCGCCACCTCTAGTACCACGATCCTTTCTCACCAAATTGTAGCCTGGCAGTTTAAAAGTGTCAGCATCGACAGATAGGTCTAACCATGTTTCTGAAAGTCCAACCACAGAATAGTTGGAAGCACATATGAATTCCGAAAAAGAGTCAAACCCAGTAAAAAGAGAACGAACGTTAAAATGAGCAAACGAAAAACATTTTCCTTCTGATATTGGCGTGTTAATGTGTTCATCGTGGTGAGCCCCGAATATTCTCAAAAAGTTGTGTATGTGTAATGTATGAAATATCGGGAATGTACGAAATGAATGAAACATAAGAAATTACAAATGTAGCTCTTGCTGGCGCCATTTACAGAAATGAAATATATCTAGAAAATACAAAATATCTACATAAAAATGTACAAAAAAAAATACCCAGTACACAAAAACATTTCTTAGCAAAACTGTGAGAGCAAAGAATGAAAGGTACTAGAATTTCATGTTCCACATCGATAAAGATCACGAAATGAAAGCAATTCACCGTTAAATCAATAAATTCATAACAAATTATTAAAATCCAAAAATAATAATAAACCAAGCTTAACTGCGTTACAAGGCATAAAGTGATACAAAAGTAAACGAAAAAAGGGTCACACAATATCATCAAGGCTGGAAATACACTTTTTGGTGTCACCACACTTAACAAACACTTTGCCAGATGACGACCAAACATTCCTTGGACCATACTTCTCTTTCGCCAAGCGTAGCAACTGATAAGCCTCCTTGGATAGATCCTCATAGACAAGAATTTTACTGCCTTTCAGCTTAGCCTTGTTAGCGGACATCACAGATTGTTTTAGCAATAACGTAGTAGATATTACTAACAACACACGAGGTCCAGAGTTTCGTTCCGTGCCCTTAACTCTGAATACAGCATCAACATCCCTACTTTCACAGCTAACGTTTAAATACTCATTAAGAAAATCGATAAGAGTCTCCACAGGGTTTTCATTTTCAGCTTCTGACAAGCCTAGTATTCTAACGGACCTTCGTTTCTGCAACTGCTCTAAGTGATCAACTTTGGGCTCGAGGTTTTGTATCTTTTTGGTATTTTCAATACAGTCAGATCTTAGTGTACCTAGAGCTCTAGACATCTCAGAAAGTCTGTCATGGATTTTCTCAAACTTTACATCGAATTTCTCTTCTAACTGGGAAGTAAATGTGGCACATACCTTAGTTATAAGCTGTTCAGTATTATTTGTACTTTCACATCCATTTGTGTTACAACCCGTACGGCTTCTAGTCGCCATGACCAGGGATTTATCGATACGGTACAAAAATAAAATGCTAACCAGCAGCTCAAATTGCAATTGACTGGATACTATCTCGCAAACCACCTATTTCCACCAAATCAAACAACTACAACACGTTACCATATGAGTAACAATACTGTGATACACTTTTTGAAAATTTACTGTTAACTTTAACCATACAAAATTGGAATTTTAGCAGGAGCTCATAACACACGTGTTTACACTGCCATCTCTCACGAATGAAATGTGATAATGTTTGCCTTTTGTACATAATATCACAACAATTGTTCAAAATGTCTTCCTCCAACCTGAATACACCGATTTCAACGACTCACATGATTTCGGCGGAGTTGACTAAAAATTTGATACTCGTTTTGAATGATTTCAAATGCAGCTGTAATTCGTCCAATTAAGTCTTGCTCTGTTTCTACAGGAGTTTCGTAAACCAAAGACTTTACATGTCCCCACAGGAACGGTGTATTCAGGTTGGAGGAAGACATTTTGAACAATTATTGTTGTGATGATATCATGTACAAAACGCAAAAATTAAATGCATTAAATCCTATTTAGGCAATTCATCGGCTTTTTACATTTTAACGCGTCTTAGGGCCCGTAGTGCCGTAGTGACACTTTTCCGGATATGGGTCCCTATACTCAAATGTTTTCTACTGTTACACTGAATAACCTCTACAAGTTTTATCCCATAGTTCTGAAACACCCTGTATAGTTTTAGAAGGAAACTGTGTTAGTTAACTTAAGCAACAATATTAATCATATGTTTAATGATCAATATCGAAAATTACATCTGAATACTGACATTAAGATATCACGTTTTACTTTGCAAGCTTTAAAATCTTTTAAAATACGGAACAACCAGGTAAATCTAATATCCTGGAAAATCAAATTTCCTGTTTGCCACCCAAACCGTAAATGGGTAATCGCGAAAATGTACATACTTCAACCTTCTTCGTTAATCGGCAATTAGTTGTAGGAAAAACCACATAATTACTTAGCTACCAGACAGCAAAACGTATGGTTTAAAAAAAAACTGATTTTGCAAGATAAGTGTTGTGTGCGTGTAATTCCAATTTTATACTATCTGTACAGACAGCTTTTTAAAATATGTAAAGGGTTTTTCATTAAGGGTGTCTGAAATTTAAAACTGAATAAAACGTTGTAAAAATTACATCATTCAAATGGCTTCCGCGGCATCGTTCACGGGAGTCGACCCGAGAGGTCCAATTTTGTAAAACTCTGCCGCATAAGTCGGGCTGGATCTCACCAATGGTTTGAATGATGTTCTCCAGTTGGTGAATTGTTGTTAGTTTGTTGCTATAAACCAGCGACTTAACGTAACCCAAGAGAAAAATAGTCTAAGGGCGTAAAGTCGCACGATCTTGGCCGCCATTCCACATCGCCTCTTCTGGAAATAACATAGGACGGAAACTTTTCTTGTAATGGCCGATGTGTGACACGTTGCGCAGTCTTGTTGGAACCACATGTCATTAAGGGTCATATCCTCCAATTGAGGCTTCAGCACTAAAAATGATTTTTTTGCCAAAATCTGGATCCGCTCCCAACTGTTCCAGAACCCAATCAGCGAAAGTACGATGCGCTTGGTGGCCTTGGGGCTTCAGTTCTTGCGTCTACTGGATCTCATATGGATACCTGCACAAGTCTTTTCGTAACATTCTCCAAGTCGAGGTCGCAGAAAGGCCAATTGCTTGTGCACGGCGCGGAATCGAAAGGTTTGGGTCTTCAGCTACACTTTCGGCAACAACAACAATATTCGCGCTTGACCGCGCGTTTCTGCGACTTACAGGAACTGCTCGATCTGCAACCGAACCGTCTTGCTCGAATTTGGCGATTATTCGTTGAATTTTCACTCCGTTGGACGATTATTTCGGTCGTAAATATTTCGCAGCTCGCGAAAAGTTCGACGAATAGAACACGAATTTTTATGATGGATTTTAAGAATTGCTAAGCGTTCTTGCACAGTGTAGTGCTCCATTGTAAAATGGTGACTGACATAACACAAACATCGAGGAATGATAACCGAGCAACCTGAAACGTCAGAGCGATATGTTGCCAAATTTCTGACATAGCTATTGAAAAACCCTTTACTTGGTTTTAAAGGACTTTCACAGTCATACAGGAAAACTAAAATAAGCGATTTCGAGCGACGCAGATAAGGCAAAGTGGATTCGCCTGGAACCTTATTTCTGTAGCTGGTGAATTTAAAATTGATATTTTGGTGTATACAGCACATAAATATGTTGGGAATTGCTATCTTGTTAATGAAATTCGCGGATTACTTTAAATAGCTCATTTTATATGTCTTAACCAAAATAAGTATCTTTTACTTCGTTTTTATTATTTAAATTGTTAATGCATATGTGTGTTAATAAACTAAATTATATGTATAATACATTTTTAATTTATAACAAAAAAACTGTGTTTCTTTAGACCCCCAAATCCAATCAATTATAAGGAATTTATAAAATTACATAATAGCACTGCAAATGACACCAACCTGCTTTCTGCGGTGTCCTTTGTCCGGGTGTGACCTTCTGCATCGGCACCTGTATGATCTGCTGGCCGCCCGTCGGTCCCTCCTTTTTCACGATCTTGATCTGCGTTTGACCGATTTTCGGCGCCACCTTCACCACCGTCTGTCCGCCACTGGTCGCCACTTTTGACGTTGAAGAGTCCAGTTTTATAATGCCGGCTGTCTTCGACATTATGTACACGCCAGTGCTATAAAAATTTGTTATATAACGCATTCCCCCAGAAGATATAGCCAACCTAATAATACAGGGTGTAAACGTTATGGTAGTCATTATTGAAATGGGTAATAGGGGGGGGTCAAAACGAGTCAAAAAGTTCATATGACCCATGGTCCAAAAGTCAATAGATTATTTTTGTCTAAATGGCTTTATAGTTTACAACTTTGAGTACTTTATATCGACCACAATCTTACTAATTTTTATAATCTAATCTGAAACGTTTTTAAGGGTAATTAACAAATAAATGGCATTAAGTTTTTCTAAGTTAAGCCGAAATTTGTAGTCAGTAAGTAAGTTTCATTAAATTAAATATTTAAAACACACATGACAACAGCTCGTCGGTCTCTCATCACTCTTATCGAACCGGCAATCGATCGCAAACGGTAACAGTGGTTAGTTATCGTTTTGCATAGATAAATTACTTTATCGTTTTGTCGAGCGGTCCATCGGGCGTGTTGTTTTGTTTTTGTTCGCGTACGTCGTCGTGTTTATTTACAATGTTCTCGAATCAAGAGTTCGCCGACATGTTGTTAGTTTACGGTGAAGCTCGTCAGAATTCAAATCTTCCAGCTCAAATTTATCGCAACAGATTTCGCCAAAGTGGTACACCCAGACAGAAGGACATTTGTGCAAGTGTACCAAAGACTTCGAGATAAAGGAAGTGAAAGACAGGTTAGTGTAGAGCAGGAGGAACAAATTTTAAATATCGTGGAAATCAATGCAGATATCAGCACTCGGGAATTAGGCCGCCGCGTAGGACTATCGCATACCATAGTCCATAGAATCCTAGGGGGAAATTTTGCTTTATCCCCACCATGTACAACGAGTGCAGGCCTTGTTACCAGAAGACTATCCTCGCAGACGTAACATTCTGTCAGTGGTTTTTGCACAAAAACATTGAAAATCCGGATTTTTTTTAAAACATTCTAGCAACGGACGAATTTACTTTTACGCGAGACGGGATATTAAATTTCCATAACACTCACAGGTGGCCCCAAGAAAATCCTCATACCATTCGTGAATGTCAATTCCAACAACGTTTTAAAATAAATATTTTTTTCGAGTTACCCCCAAAGTTGTCAGGAGAAGGATACCTTAGCTTTCTAGCCAATAACCTACCAGAACTTTTGGAACAGACCTTAGACAACATTCCATTACAACGGAGAGAGAATTTGTGGTTTCTTCACCACATATTTTTAGAGGCGTCATTCAGTATTTGAATGAACATTATCCAAATCGCTGGATCGGTCGAAATGCTCCTGATCCTCGAAAATGGCCAGCAAGATCTCCTGACCTCAATCCGATGGATTTCTGGTATTGGGGAGAACTTAAAGGGGTGGTTTATGGGGCTGGTCCAATAACAACTGAAGCACAACTTCGCGAAAACATTTTTAATGCGGCTGAAATAATAAATGGACAACTGCGAGGACCTAGAGTAAGAAGAAACTGGGTTCGTCGTAATGAAGCTTATGTGGAAAGTGGAGGACATTTTTGAACACCTTCTTTAAATACAAAAAAAGTGCAGTGTGGGTTTTAAAAAGAAAAACAATGTATGTATCAAAATTGTGTTCCCTATTTATAAGTGGATTTTTTAATACGTTCAATAAACTTTAAGTGAGTCCTTTTTTTTTAATTTTTTTGCATTTTACGAGTACATTATCAAATAATGAAATAATACCTAAGAGCTAAAAATAACAAACTCCATCTTTGTTTACCCCATGTTATATGAAAATTTTTGCTTTTTTAACCCCCTGCATCATCCATTTAAATAATGACTATCATAACGTTTACACCCTGTATATTCTCGAATTATTCACAGCTATGTTTCTCCTCTCCGCATTAATTAGAAATCTACTTTGGAAACGAATTTCTTGGTTACGACATTGTTCTTACATATCAACGACTTCTTTTCTTCAATGTTCAATTCAATCCACACCTTTGCTGATAACAGCACTACATGCAGGAAACCAGAGCCGATCTCTGCTGGTGAGCTGGAGAAAAAACACTAAGAGCGACTTCTTCTCTGACGAGAGATCTGGAGGTTCTCACTGCTTGGGGATGCAATAATCTTTTACAGTTTAATGCTCCCAAAACTCAGTATATACTGACTAACAAGAAGCGCCCTAGCGCTCATCCGGGTTCGATGAATTGGCCGAGTTCTACCGAAGAGCCGTTCAGTTCGGCTGGTCAGAGTTCAATCACCGAGGACTTAATCTCGCACGAACACATCTCATCAATAGCGGCAGCTGCTGGGAAAAAAACTAGGCTCTTTGTTTAGGGCAACGAAGTACTTTTCTCCACATTCTGACATGCACAACCGGCCGATACGACTGCTCCTTTGTCCCTAGGGTATGAACAACCTACCTGAGTAAGTTTTTCCCAGTTCTACCTTAGGCAGTTCAAAAATCGGAAGAACAAAGTTTCTTTAAGCTCCTTATAGCAGGCATGGTGCCCTGGAATTTAGGCTTCTGCCTGCGCGGCTGTTTCAATATAGAGAAATTTCAAATTACAGAGAGGAGAAACGTTAATGTGACAGGTTCTTACAGATGACACTAAGGTATCTCGGATAATTTTTTGTGACAATTGGGGTGGCTATCTTCAGGCAGAATACATAAATGAATGGGTGTAATAGAAAAGTGACTACTTTTTCCCAGAATAATACCTTCAAAATTTATTTCATTAAAAATGAAAGATCATTCACGTAGATCAAGATCCAGACTGCATTTTGTTTTTATAAAGAAAAATGAGGCGAAAAAGATACATTTTTTAGCAAACCTCTTATTCTCAAAAAGCCGTAGCTATAAGTAGCAGATTAGCCATTATGAAATTAGTCAGATCTGTAGAGGTTTAAAAAATTCCTTGGATGACCATAAAAAAGATTATAAAAACCAGCTGTAATAATTTACTGAATCTATATAAAAAATATTTTCACGGTAGGAAGATGTCTTTCTGATGATGACTTCATCAGAGTAATGAAGTGTTTTCTGTTAACATACCTTAAAGCGGGTAGTTGTTTCTGGTTAATCCTGACGACGCCATTCGCATCGGGTATCAGTATGTTCTGAGGTAAAGGAGTTCCTTTTCCAACTCCATTCTTGATTATCTGGATCTGATGCTGTGTCTTAGGGGTGACCTGTGCAAACAAAAAATAATTCGTATTATAATTGGCATACTGAGATTGGTTGCAAAGTTGAATTATTTAGATCTAGCGTTGCGAGTCATCCGTCCCATCTACGCCAAATACATAACAAAATCTTACTTGACACAATATGGTAAAAATAGTCACAATGATTTTGCTAAAGGTAATTCGCTCCATCCCATTCAGAATGCCTCAAGTGTTAGAAGGAACATGTACACACTTATCACTAACATTTTGAATTGATAGACTACCATCGAATTTCAATTTTTCTAAATTTTCTGATCTTGAAATGGAAAGTTACATTCGCCGCAAGAAAAACTCCAGCAAAGTAATTTCAACAGTGCAAATCACTGATAGCAATACTTTGGCACCACTTCTATTACCTGTTGAACTTTCTTGGTGGTATCCTTCTGCGGTTTAAAGTCGTCTCCAGAGTCGTCGGACAGTTCATCCCATTTCATTTTCTTCTCAAACGAGTCATCGCTGTCGGCATCTTCAAGCTGACGTTTCGTGCCCCGGGATGTATCGTCTTCATCAGAAATGTTGCCGCACCACTGCTTCACTTGGTCTAGAGCTTTCTGCTTGCTAGTACGTTGTGGCCTCCTAGAAATAATCATATTGTTTTTATAGAAAACAAAGTTCAACGAACAATAAAAAATTGGTCATGTCCATCGTTCGTCGCAATATAAACTCATAACAACGAGGTTTTTCAAGAAAATATTCCAACAACAATACAATTCGAGGCTCACACTCGCCTTCAGAAGGCACACCACAATGAAACTCTATTAGCGAATCAAGTGATATATCAATCATAACCTGTTGTGTTTGGTTTTGACGTTTTTTGCGACGTGGTTTGTAACAGCTGTCAAATGATGCTGCCACGAACTGGCCCTCGCGACGTCACTGTTACTGACAGTTAACATCAATAACAACCTTGCACAGGTGGTTTCTATGTGGTTCTGAATATCAAATGATTACCCATGAATATAACATAACCCTGTGACATAATTTTCGGTAAAAAGTAATCTGTAATATACCTTGCCCCACTCCGCTACAAATCCCCACCGATCAATTTTTTAGCCCTAAGTATTTAGAAAATTATCCTCTGAAACGTCAAAAGCGGAGTTTGAGCGACGTTTATTTCCATATTTTTGGCGATCTTCTCTGCCGCCAATGGACCGATTTTCAAAAACCACGAAGCTTTTTCCTCCTTAGCATCAAAATCCGAGCGGCACTTTACAAGTTATAGGCGTTCAAGGATTTGCGAACAGTTCAACTAAAATGAGTAACACGGTTTTTTCGTGATGAACATGTCATATAACATCCAAAAAAACATGGAGTGAAAATAAAGGGTTTTCCATTAAGGACTTGACAACTTTCTTTTTAAATAAATCGCAAACCATTTCAGATATCTCGAAAATTTTATTATTGGACTGAAGTACACTCAAAACATTTATGTATGGAATTCGACCTCGTTCATATAACCACCACGGGCACGTTCGCAGCGAACGATTCGTTAAACCCAATTTTCAATGACTCGGCCACACATTTCGACAGAAACGGCCGCTATCTCCCGTTCAATATTGGCTCTGAGCTCATCTAACGGCGCCGGCTTGTTGGCATAGACCAATGATTTAATGTAGCCCCACAAAAAAACACGATCTAGGCGACCATTCGACAGGACCATTTCTCGATATAACACGTTCACCGAATTTTGACTTCTATATGTCGATTGTTTCACCCGATGTGTGGCTTGTGGTACCGCCTTGTTGAAACCACATATCATTAATGTCTACCCGATCCAGTTGACCAAAAAAATAACGTTGCAATATGTCTCTGTAGGGATCTCTGTTGACTGTAACGTGACGGTCATTTTCATCAACGAAAAAAAACTGCCCAATGACACCACCTGAATGAAAACCACACCATCAGTTATTTTTTCTGGATGAAGTGGTGTTTCTTGAAGTACATGAGGGTTTTCACCTGACCAATAACGCATATTCTGTTTGTTGACCAAGCCGTTTAGCCAAAAATACGCCTCATCACAGTAAATGATTTTGCGATGAAATTGGTCATTTTCTTGCAACATTCCTAGAGCCCGATTCGAGAACGTACGTCGGTTCGTGTGATCGAACGGCTTTAGTTCTTGAGTTAACTTGATCTTATAAGGGTACAGGCCAAGATCTCTTCGCAAAATTCGCCATAGAGTGGTCTGAGCGATGCCCAATTCTTGAGAACGTCGTGGAATCGACGTGTTGTGTTCGTTTGCGATGGAAGCTTGAACGGCAGCATTATTCTCGGCACTTCGACCAACTCGTTGTCTCACTGATACTGGAACATCCAGAAGCGAATATGTCGACTCAAATTTTTCTACTAGACTATGAATTGCTTGTCTACCGGGACGAGAATTACGACCAAAAATTGGCGTTAACGCTCTTAAAGTTGCAGTCACCGACTCGGAATTTCGGTAGTACGAGTATATTTCAATTATTTGTAAGCGTTGTTCCGTCGTGTACTTCACCATGATGAAAATGTTTTCTTTACTGAATGTTTTGACATTGACAGTTTGGTAATTGATTTAAAGGTGCGTTAACAGTGAAAGTTCAAAGCTGTCACGTCACTACTGGAAAACCCGATATCTTCTCCGACAGCCCAGCGGCTAAAAGAGCAGTTAAAACAGTTGTGTTCACATAATGAAAATGGAACAAATAAAATGTGTACTTACATTCCAGGAGATCCGAGTTTGGAGGTTCCAGGTGACGTAAAACTTTGTTTCCCTTTCATCTTTGCGATATTCAGTTGCTGCTGTTGTTGCTTTGCCTTTTCCAACTTCTGTTTTTTCAGCTGCTCTTCAAACAATTCCACCATTTGCTTGCAATGATGTAGATTTCCAACTGGCTCCCAAGTATTATCTTCACTGCAAGTAAATTAAATATTGAACATGTATAAAAACGTTCAAGTTTGTGAATGAATCTTTAAGACAAATTTTTCAACAATTTGTAAAGTAAAAGAGTTCCACATAATCTCAATGTAATATTGCAACATTCTGATTTTCTATTGAACGAAAACGTTAGTGTATTTCAACTTTACCACTGCCTGATTATGAATGATGTTGATCCCAACACTACAAAAGATGTCCCTTACCTTGGAAAATGTTCCCATTTAACCTGGTATTCCCAGGTCTTCCTTTTTGGGTTGAACCTCTTCGCGACAATCTTTTCTACTGCATATTCTCTAGTTTCCGTACTCCTAACGGTTCTCAGTGCCTTATTGGAATTTTCATTATTCTGAAAACAAAGGGTTGCTATATGCGAAAAAGTCATAGTATAACAATTTCCAGCAAAGAAAGTAGTGAAAAACGAGGAGCAAGGGAGAAAATGATTAATTACCTTTGGCATAATGGCGATCTCTCTGTTGACCCTAACTGTCTTTGTAGGTTGGACAGTTGTTTTTGAAGCCGCGTAAACAGAATTCTCTTTGTTACTATCTGCAAAAGAACGATGCATTAGCAATTTGAAAACAGTATATTCGGGTAGTAGAGTTCTTTTCTTTTGCTGATTTGTTACGATCTTCCCTTATTTCGATTTTGCGCAGTAGCGAGGCAATCCTCCGTTATCCGTTATCGAAATAAAAAATATTACTTCTGAATGTTCCTGTTTAATATAACAGAAATATGAGTTTTAGATCACAAATAAAAATAAGTGCAAAACATGAATTGAATTGTCCGAATTTTTATTATACATTATATGCAATGTGGCAAGGTAGCCATTTATTGTAGTTCTGATGGTTTTGTGGCCACTTGTTGTGATGTGGTTCTATGATTCTAACGTATTCATTTCTTGGCTGGTTTGGGCACAACTTTTCTAAGAAAAAAATTAACAAGGTTTAGATTTTTGGGGTTACCTTCACGACTCATTTTTGTTGTACTAAAAACTCTCTATTGCTAACAAAATTTTGCAAAAAAGAAGAAAAAAATAGAAAACTATCTTACCTAATCCATCAAGTGCCAAAGGATCCTTGGCATCCTTAGTCTTTCGGACTTCTGACACTTTAGCAGTGCCCACTTTGTTGAAGTACTGCAACGTCTGCCCAGCGGCAATCCACGAGTTTTTATCTTTCTCTGGCAATTGACACCATTTTTGGTAAACGGCCCAAGATGACGGTAACACTTCGCCTTTCTGAAAAAACGAAACCAAATTTTCCTTTGTTTGCCTCAAAGATGGTATTATTTACATAGTTATCCTCTAAAATGCTTCAAAATGAGTACTCAAAATGCAGTGTTGTAATTTTAATAGACAAGATTGTAGAATTACAGAAAATACAAAATTGACATTCAGCATTAATGCTAAATGAATCTTCAACAAACAGCACAGCTTCAAATTTTCAATTTATATTTATCTGAACACACCTATCAACTAGATTTTTGAAAATTACAAAAAAATCCCACTGCAGTAACTGAAAACAATAAAGTTTTAATTGTACTGCAAAGTTGAATCTCATATTAAAATACATCCAACCGTTTGGGCTGAAGCCCCTGAAGTAGAAATATAAAAGTTGAAGTTTGCCTTTAAAATTGATTTTGTGAAGTACCCAGTGTCACTCAGACTGTCAAAATGTAGAGACGCCACGAATATCAAAAACAATCAAGCCATTTGTTTTTTTATTTTTATGAAAACAACGCACTCTAGGAAAAAAACACCAGAGTAATTTATTTGTAGCAAATTGAAGGTAAACTTGGCAAAAAAAGCAGTGACGTACTATTTTTATTTGGAAAAATAATGCTACTAATCCCCTGTATCTCCGCCACTGGTGCACATTAATTATAAGTACATACAGACTTCTGAATGTGGACAATACTTAGGTAAGTCCACATACCAAATATTAGCTCATTTCAGTTGACGGAAAGGATATTCAAGTAGTCATTTATACTGAATGTACCTACATACAGCAACTCGGCAATATTATCGGTGTTGTGATGTGCATCACTCAGTTTTAGACTAAATGTACGGGAGCATCTATGATGAGTGAAATATGTCTGATGGAAGTAGAATTACTGAGATTAGAAGCGGATAAATATATCAAGATTAAAACAGTGAGATATGCCTTCCCCGACCCTGCAACTAATAACCACCAATTTTTAACTCCTACAAAAATGTTACCGTAAATGACTGGGAGCCTTTGTCAAAAAAAAAGGTTCCGCGATTTTTTTTCTTTTTTGTCCTTTTTCTTCGCCGCCGCTGGACCAATTTTTGAAAACTACAAAGCCTTTTCGCCCTTTGCATAGTAGTAACCTTGTGGTTATGGTACTTTTCAGGAAACCATTGAAGAACTTAAAATGAGTGTTAACACGACTATTATCAAAATAAAAATATATAAAATAAAGGCTCTCGTGTCAAATAAGCAGATTGTTTCATTTCCAATGCTTTTTTCAAGTTACATACCTTTTTTGCAACGTTTTGTTGTTTATTCTTCCACAGCGTGAAGCCCCACACTTGCGGTTTCGTTTCGGTTTCGCAAATATTAGCGACATTCGACGGCGAGCAATTTTGCGTCTTGTGTTGTTGAAAATCCTGGACGATGTGGAAAACATCGTGGCATTTACCGCATACTAGCAAGTCCATCTCCAACAAATCTTTTTGAGACTCTGGAACAACGAAATAACGACTTTAAATATCACTCTGTTTCACCACTTCCCAAACCAATATATTATAGGAGCCTGTCTCAGTGATTTGTGTATAGCATAATACATGATGGAAACAACTTAAGTTGAATGGTCCGTTGATTCGCTTCAATAAAATAAAGGTAGGCTTTGTAAAACATTTTTTACGATGCTGAGAAGCTGATTTTTGACGTTGTTGTTAACAATTAAAAGTAACGCATGGTAAAGCTGTTTCTGACGAAATAAGAAAAGTATTCATTCACTTGCATTTAAAAGGTCAAAATGATTCCCAAATACCCGACAGTGTTAACAAATCGAAATATACAGTTCGAAATATTATTAAATTGTACAAAACAACGGGATTTGCGGCACAAAAACCCAGAACTGGAAGTCTCCCGCATTATTCCTATACCAACTTGAGAGCCTTAAAACGGATTATCAAGGAAAATCGGCGTGCTAATTATAACGAATTGAAAATATGGAATCAGGCAACCACAACCAAATTTTCAAGAGCAACTTGTCATTGAGCTGTCTAAAAACTGAGATTCAAATCTACAAGGTAAGCTTAAATTATTTTTCTATTATTCGTTTTTAATTCAGTATTTCTAGGCAAAAGTGAAGCCCTTATTGACAAATATTCAGAAGAAAAACAGACTAGCATGGGCCAAACAACACAAATTATGATCTCTGAACCAATGGATCTCCATTATTTGGAGTGATGAAGCCAGATTTGAAATATGCGTTGGTGATAGTAGGAGTCGTGTCATAAGAACAAAAGCAGCGTTTCCGAATGACTGTCTTGAAAAAAAGTTACAACATTTCCTGCTTTTTATGATTTGGGGTTCAATGTCAGCAAGTGGAGTGGAAAACTTAACTTTGTGGAAGGTATTATGGGTTTAAACAATATTGAATGTATTTTCCAATAAAATGGTGCCGCTTCCCATACTGCTAAAAAAGTAAATGATTGTATGTTAGAAAACAATATTTCAGTTTTAAGATGGATGTGGAGTAGTCCAGATCTATCGCCGATTGAAGGAAAAGCTCCGATTGAATCTGGCAAGAACCGTTCCAGAATTGCGAACCCGTCTCCAAGAAACTTGGAACAGTTTTACGCCAGATGACTGCCAAACATTAGTTGAAACTATATCGATACGTATCGAAGAAATAATTAGTCGAAAAGGCGATGTAACGCAGTTGTGATTTGCTGCTATTTTGTTTCACTGATTTATGTTATCAGAAACACATTTTAGTTTTTAATACGTTTCCGCTAATATGACAAATTTCATAAAATACGTGGTTTTCACTGAGACAGAGCTCGAACACCCGATGGCCTAAGACAATAGATCAGCATGGCTAACATCTTCAGGAAAAGATTAGTGAGATTGAAGAATCTTATTTTTCCCTGGAGCCAAGACAGCGAACGCTTCCAGGTTTTATCAACAATTATCATGTTTAACCAGAAGCTATCTAATCCAATTGGAAGGCGTGCCGAGTCGAAAATAAGCATACATACAGTGGCACTATAAACCACTTACGCATATAATTATATGCCTGTCAACCACCATATTTAGACATCAGGGTAGCCACCTCTCAGACTGTTCCTTGTTCGTCACTGAAAAATCCCGAGAATATGAAATTTTCAGAATATCTACGAAAGAGATTCAGGGGTCACTTTTCCTTGAAAGGTTGGTGTCATGTCCAAGAATAAACAATTTCCTTTGAAAACAAATTGATACCTCAAATACATCATAGGGTTGGACATCTCCATGTAGATGTTAATCAATGGTAAGACTGATTCTCCTTAGAGGATGCCAAATTAGAGAGGCACGTTTATTGTCTTTCTCACGAGTATCCATCATGGTAGAATAACAGCTGATTATCTACTGAAAAGTCAAAATTCCCCCTATCGACAAGAGGCACACAATTCTTACGGATTCTCAGCGCCATAGCCGGATTTTATAGTGTTTTTTTGTACGCTACGGATTAATTTTGTGGTGGCTTACAAATCTTTTATTTAGAAAAGTTCCTTTGCACACAAAAAAACGCTAAGATGGTTGCTAATGATCATAGCTTTCAAGTAAGGTAGAAATAAAATAGAATAAACAGTTTTTGACTATGTCAATCATCTCTACTTTTTAGAACTTGAAACACATGATTTTAAAGGGCAAGGAATCAGCCATGCTATTAATTCAAAATGTGTGGCAGTATATGACCAAATTCATAAAGGTTGGTTCCCTGAATTAAGTCTGAACTTAACTCAGGTAATTCTAACATATTAGAAATTAGAAAAATAAAAGCAAAATGTACAAGTATTGCAGCAAGTCATGAAATGTACTCAACTGGGACAACGCAGTGTTCGTGAAATCAGGCATGGTCCCACTATCGAAGATTCTGCAATAATCCAAAGCAAACGAAAACGTCGCGTGGAAGCTCATTGCACTTGTGGGAGGGAAATAAATGTAATGCATGCTTAACCTGTACTTGAATTACATTACACCAATGATGGACAATTAACCAGAAACTCGGGTCTATATTGTACAAGTAAAATTACAGCTGCTGAAAAGGACAACACATTTTGTTTTATTGACTTACCTCGTAATCAATGAATACCACATGTACCATAATAATTTTTTAAACAACATTTTTCTATGTGTACTTCATATATTTTATTGTCAAAACCCCCAGTCACTAAAAGTAACTAGATATGTTATACAGCCCTGTGTTTTCAGATTTACACCTGATTCATTATTTCCAATGTTACTAATACAAACATGTCAGTTGCTGATCAGATGTTCACCTCAGAAGACGTCAAAACGTAATGGAAACTCGTGAAATACGCTGTAGGTTGTATACAAAATTGTATTGATGCAATGGTATTTGTAATGTTGGAGCCTTCTCGGTAGTATTAGCTGCAAGATATTTACCTCTTTCTCACTCAGAACTTACTTTGTATAACGTCATAATCTTTCAAAACGTCGTCCGCTGATAGCATATCCTCCAAATCGGAGGTTCTTGTAATCGGTTTACTAGCAGTTCTGTCCATCGTTCTCTGCTGTGCCGATGTCATAGTCTGGTTTCCTTCCAGCTGTTTTTTCTCTATTAGACCGACACCCTCCAGTGCATCTTTGGGACCTACATCATTTTCATTGACTTCTTTTGCTTCATCTTCACCGCCGTGTAAGCGTTTCAGCTCCTCTTCCAAATCGCACAGTGGCATATCTTCATCCGGTTTTACATCATCTAAAACAAATAGTCAAATACATTCATACATTCTGACCTAAACAACGACTGAATTCGAAAAAAATATATAAAAATGTTTGCCCACAAAAATTAAGTTCGACGACTGATCGTACAATTTGGATATATTCAAAATTAGGATTTCAGATTCTGAAAAATGTACTGCTACGAACCGAGAAGCTTCTCAAAAAACATTTTAATGTTTTTAACTTTACACAAAAATGATATTATGTATGCTGATATATCTACATTGAGAAATAAACCTAAGCAAAATTTAACTATGCCCTAAAAGGATCAAAGCCTTGAAAACAGTGAAATCAATTTTTTTTGTCAAAATGATTTCTACATAAGAATTTATTCACCCAAAAAGTATCAGATAGATTTTTAATACATACATGAATAATCAGAAAGATGTAGTGCATACAAAAATAAAGTTTGCCAAAAATATGAAATCTTTTTGTTTGAAATAATTTGGGTGGACTATGGAAGGCCACACTAACAAATAAACTGGAAAGAAATAAGGATCCATACAAGGCGAACACAATAAATTCGTCATTCAGCTTAAAACTAACGTTGTGATCAAAATATCTGCTTATATTACTTAAACTACATATAAAGGTCTTTCATCAATATAATATATTAAATACAATAAATGCTCATAAAAAAACTCAATGAACATTATATGAATGCTGTCATAAAACTAATAATGTATTCGAGGAAATATTTTCAATATAATTTTAATGATATTTATATTGATATCAAAAAAGTTGCCAATATGTTCCAAATGATGCTAGAAATCCACAATTAAAAAAATATAGTTTATTTACTTGAAAACTTACGTTTTGCTGTGAGCTTGGATTATAATTTTAACATCTACAAGCAATGTCAACACATAAAGACACTAACCTTGTGTCTCAGGAACATGTTCAGCATTATTTGAATCGCCTGTCTCCTCAGCAGGCTTATTCTCTTCAGAAACAACACTGTTGGCTACGTTCTCTTGACTATTCTCTTCAATGTTTGCCTGGAAATTATCCTGTGAGTTCTCTTGGGCATCTTCTTCAGGTTTATCTTCACTGTTTTCTTGAATACTTTGGGTAAGTGCTTCTTGGCTATTCTCCTCAATGTTATGTTGAATGCTGTCTTGAGAAGTATCTTCAGTGCCCTCCTGTGGAGAAGCTGTTGCCTCAGACATAGAAATAATAGAGGACTCTTCTGTTGGTACAGTCAAAGTATCGCTGGTCACTGGAGTCTCGGTAGTAGCAAGTGTGTCTATTGTGGCAGAAGTTTCTGTTCCACTTACGATTTCCGATGTTGGGGGATCCTGCATAGAAAACGTCACATTGCAAAACAAGTGCTGACAGAAGTTGAATATGAATATTTGTGGTGTGTGGTAGAGAAGCCTTGTGACCTTAGCCTTAGCAAACTGCAGTGATACCTAGGGAATAGTGTTGTAAATAAACAGAATAGGGATGAGTGTATCAGAAATCCTGTGAAGAGTTCTAGAAGGGCCCCCTACTCAACAAATCAAGAAGGAAAATATGGCGCATAGCATAGAATATCTAAGTTGATTAAAGGCTGATTGCAAAATGCAAACACAAGAGATTTATTTAATTTTGTATTTACAAAGGGAACATTTTTCAAACAGCAACCCAAAGAGTTCTAAAATATTTTATCAATACCAAGCATTAGAAAAGTGTGTTTGACCTCTTGTTCTCATTGAGGAAAAATTGTAGGCTTATGATACTCCATTGTTAAAAAAGTATTTCAACTTTAAAATTTATAAGACATAACTAAACAATGTCCTATTCTAGTATTGCTTGTGATAAAATATTAGCTTTATTCATATTCTAAATAGAACTGTAGCAGAAACATTTAGTAGTGAATCACAAATGACTTTGAAGTCACAAAAACCTATGGTGCAGGATCAACGCAATTCTAATACAGTTCTTTTTAGAGTCCTAACAAAGTTAATGTCAGAACTATCCTGAGCCCAGCCTTTTCAGAACACATTGTGCCAAGTTATAATACAGAGCAAACCATCTCCCTTATTACCATCACACATCACTTTTTTCAACAGTCTGGAAGGGTATCCACTGTTTCATGATGTGTATAGAGATCAACAAAAAACAATATATTATTTTTTGTCAAAAAATGCTTTTATGTGCATTTTACAATTGTAACTTGTTAATAAATAATAGTACAGCTCTGAAATTGAAAATATCCCACTTTTATAGTAGATTGGATTAGATTTCAACATCTCACTTTTGTTGAAAACTCTGCTGCAAAGCAAAGATTTTTTGAAGAAAAGAATTATCCACTCTATTCTACTATAAAAGTGGAATATTTCAGTAGTAGTAGTAGCAGTAGTAGTAGTAGAAAGATTTATCAAGCACATTTGGCTACATAAACAGAATAATTGTAAACAACTTATAATTAGTAAATTTAAGCCCTATGATGTAAATGCTGGGCAAGCTATAATGGTATATTTAACAAGTGATTCTTCAATTTTACTTTGAATTTTGTCAAACTTTTCTGGCCTTTTATCTCTGAATATGTCTTATTATATTCAATCAACCCTTGACAGATTTATAGCAGATGTTATACTTTTTGGTCATTAAATTGAAGTCATCTTTATCCCTAGTATTATGTAAATGATGGTTGGCATTTGATGACGTTAAATTAGACGTGGTGGAAATATATTATTTTTTACTTTATAAATGAGTATCATTACAAGATATTTGCTTAAACTTTTTACATTGAGCTATTTTTAATTTGCTAAGCATATGTCTAATTGGAGTATATTTATCTTTATTCAATATTATTCTCATGCACTTAATTTGTAAAATTTGTTAGTCTTTCAAAAATGGAATTATTTGCTAAAGATAGAATAGTTGAACAGCACAAGAAATTTGGAAGAATGATAGTATTATACATAATTTTTCTGCTATATGAACTCCATTGTCCAGAAACTCTTGATAAATATCCCACTTTACTACTAATCTTATTTATAACTTTTTCATAATGAATATCAAAAATTAATCAAGAGTCAACAAAAATCCCAAGGTATTCGAAATTTTCTATGAATTCAATATCTTCACCATCAATGTTTAGTTGAATACATTACAGAGTACATTGTTTTAAGCCCTATGATGTAAATGCTAAGCAAGCTATAATGGTATATTCAACAAGTGATTCTTCAATTTTACTTTGAATTTTGTCAAACTTTTCTGGCCTTTTATCTCTGAATATGTCTTATTATATTCAATCAACCCTTGACAGATTTATAGCAGATGTTATACTTTTTGGTCATTAAATTGAAGTCATCTTTATCTCTAGTATTATGTAAATGATGGTTGGCATTTGATGACGTTAAATTAGGCGTGGTGGAAATATATTATTTTTTACTTTATAAATGAGTATCATTACAAGATATTTGCTTAAACTTTTTACATTGCGCTATTTTTAATTTGCTAAGCATATGTCTAATTGGAGTATATTTATCTTTATTCAGTATTATTCTCATGCACTTAATTTGTAAAATTTGTTAGTCTTTCAAAAATGGAATTATTTGCTAAAGATAGAATAGTTGAACAGCACAAGAAATTTGGAAGAATGATAGTATTATACATAATTTTTCTGCTATTTGAAGTCCGTTGTCCAGAAACTCTTGATAAATATCCCACTTTACTACTAATCTTATTTATAACTTTTTCATAATGAATATCAAAAATTGATCAAGAGTCAACAAAAATCCCAAGGTATTTGAAATTTTCTATGAATTCAATATCTTCACCATCAATGTTTAGTTGATTACATTACAGATTGTTTTTTTTTTTCGATTAACATAGCTTTCGTTTTACTTGTATTCAATTTGAGTGTGTTAGATGCCATTTTGAAACAAGAACCAGTCTGAACATTTTTAGTAATTATATAAATCAAAGTCTCATCGGCGAAAATTTTAATTTTGCATTTTTTTACTATGGCAGGTAAATCGATTATGTATAAAATAAAAAGTGGTTCCCGAATACTGCCCTATGGAACAACTAATGTATTTTCAATTTTTGTTGAGTGTTATCAACTTATGTAACTTGCATCCTTTTAGACAAATAAGCTGTACTATTTGTAAACAAGTTACAAGTACATTTTTTTAAAATACAAAAAGTCTGACTACAGTTACTGATAAAATTGAATGTTCAATTGTACTATCCTGAGCTGTTTCCGGTGGTTTTTGGTTTAAACTGCTCCAGAAACAATGTATGAGAATACAAGTGCAGTGGAACGGTATTGGTGCTGAGCACTACTGAGTTAGTCAGAATAACTCAATTAGGTCACTGGAAAGCAGCTAATATGAATCATGTCAAAATCTCTTGGTCTGTAAATTAGATTACTTTTTTCATATATGACTTAAAATGTCATTTTGAGTAATAGTCTAATCAAAATAGCAAATTTCCCCGAAATAATTGTAAAATCTTGTTTTATTGGTGCAAGTTGTTCAAGGCGATATTCAAAACATGGACACATAAAATGGGTACACCAATTTTTGTGAGAAAACTTTTTATTTGACAACAAAGAATGAGAAAACGTGTTTTTTGGGATTCAATCAAAAGTGTTGACAGGAACGAAAAAGCTTTTCAAATAAGAATTTTTAGGTATTTATGAGTCCTACAAAATGAGACCACACGTAAAAAGATCCGACTAATTGCAAAAATGTTATGGCCGAAAAACGAGGCAAAAAATAACATTTATCTTTCGGAATGGTTTGCGATTCATATCGGCAAGGTAAACCAGTGTATTTTGCTATAAAATGCCCTTTGAAGTAACCCTGTATATTGCTCAATAAACTAGTAGTGATCGCCAGAAAGCACATGCTTTGGGATAAACAATTAGAAAATCTCAAAGACTACTTGAACAATCTACTCCAATTTTGTTGTGGTTGTTTAGAAGTACAGATCCTACAAATTTGAAGAATTCCAAATATGAATGAGAAACCATCGTCGTATTACCAACAAGTGCCAAAACCGCAGTTTGCCTGGGTTTTCGGTGACAACATTTTTGCTATTCATCGGATCTTTTTACGTGTAGGTCTCATAAATACCCAAAAATCTTATATGAACTTTTTGTTCCTGTCAACACACTTCGATTGAATCCCAAAAAAAAACGAGTTGTCATTCTTTGTTGCCGAATAAAAAGTTTTCCCACAAAAATTGATGTACCCATTTTATGCTACCATGTTTTGAATACCCCCTAGAACAACTTGCAGCAATAAAACCAAACTTTACAATTATTTCGCAAACCAAGGTATTTTCGTCTGATTAGACTATAACATATTCAATGTCTGTAATGAATTTTTATACATCTCTCCCCTATAATACCATAATGAAATAAGAGACACAACTAACAATGTATCAATATGCAAAATTGTATTTACAGATAAGCATTCCCTGAGCTGATAAGATGTATTACTAGTTTTCCAGATATATTCCAATGGTAATTAACTTGCTTATTCCATTTTAGATTTTGGTCAATGATTATATGTAAATACTTGAATTGATCAACTTCTTTTATAGGTTATTTTAAACCTTTTATGTCTATATTCCTAATTTTTGGTCTATTTGTATCTCTTATAGAAAAAGCAATATAGGTTCTCTTATCAATATTCAAAAACAGGCGATGCACATTTAGCCAGTTAGATACTTTTGCAATACCATCCTTTTTAGTCCATAATTTGCCTTGAAAAATTGTAGCTGTCTCATCTTTCAATTGTGTATATATAAAAAATATTTATTTGATGATATGAGCACAACACAATTTGTAGCGTCTATAGCCAGCTTGTTTTGGAATTTGTGCTAGATATACATTATTGACATTATGGAATGTAAATACTGTTTGTTTCTTTTGTAAATTCTTCCACATGAAAATGATTTGGATGATTCAACACAAAATTATTTACTACTAATTATAAACATCTCTAATATAACTCGCTAGATCTAAGTCTTTCTGCACTGTGTGTAACTGAAAAATTGGCAAAAATTGCCTTGGACTACCTCTACACTGAAGCAACAATATCAGATAATACTTAGCTAAAGGATACAAGTATCATTATAAGAGCGAAATACATTTTATATCTTAATTATAAATTATTTATTTACAAGTATAATGAATAAACTATAGATTAAGCATTGAAAATGCACATCAAAGCAAACAGCAAAGTCTATCTAGCAATTAGCAAACCCATACATGTTTAGTCTCTGTTTAAACAGGCTTAAAATCAAAGATAAGGAAATCCAATGAACTACTTGCTGGATCTAATCAATAGCAACAAAGAGCTGAAGAAATAAGCATAGCATCAATTTAGAATAAACTATAATAATGTAGCGGAAAACCTAACATAATTAGGTTTGACTTGGGCTGTTTCCAAACATGGATGACCTTCATAATTCGCTCAATACTTCAAGGTTTTTCGCGAAGGCAGAAAACTACCGCACTTACCTCAGCCGTAGCTTCTGAGATTAACGCATCCAACGCAGTAGCTGTCAATTCTGAGCAACTGTTCGCCGAAAAATCGGCATCGCCGGCCGCACTTCCCGCGCTCTCAACGGCCTCGGTTTCTGCCGGGGCCTCCGTCGTGCATGGAGCGTCGCTTTTTTCGTCCATTGTGAACCAACTTGCGCAATGTCAACCTTCAAAAATGAACGATGTAAAGTTTGAATTGGTACGAGCATTCCGCAAAATTATATGAGATATCAAAGGTTATAGAGTATTTTTTGTATTTAGCGCCATAAAAATAGTCAAATTTCAAATCATCACATCTCCCTAATTTATCGTACCACGGCAAGATGGCTGGTTCCACAAACCTATCGAAGTCGAATTCTGAGTGGACGTCTCGTGAAAATTTTTTTGCTAACTTATATGCTGAGCTCAAATACGTATATTGGGGTTACGTTTGATGTATATTTTGAGAATAATGGGTTGAAATTTACCTTATTTCACGAGTTTTATCGAAAGTTTCACCACAAGCGTTCCAAACATAGCGATAGTGCTGCCACGTTGACGGATCGACGGATGTTGACGGATAGCGTCAACTTGAACGCAAAAAAACAGCATTGGCGGGAATATTTGAATGTTGCATCTGATCATGTGGAGAAGTACAACTGGGAATAGGGAATAACAAACAAATTTAATAATTTCACTGACTAAAATTAAAGGAAAATAAATATAACATTTATATTTGAAAACCTGCGGGGAAAATTAACAGTTTGAATATTATTAGAAAAACATCCTAGTAGACTGATTTTTAGAAATGTATTGAGCACACTTTGGTGTAACTGGTTAATTAAAAATGTAATAAGATATAATAAGAACGTAAATGTACTATATACTGTGAGAAAGGGAATATGAAATTACCTTATTTTCGCTAAAAAGGAGTTAACTGGCGGTTAGGTAAGTATGAAAATTAGCTAACGTTCTACCCCCGCAAAAATTGACTTGTAACGCATGAGCCAAGCTCCTGCTCAATGCTGATACAAAATTGATAATATTTGTTAACCTCCTTGCCCTTAACTTCAATGTTTTGGTTTGTTTTGTTCTTGACTTAATAGATGGTAAAGAAAAAGAGTGGGAGTGGAGGGAAACATGGTCACGGGACCAGCCATCCCTTTGGTGATTGGCGTTTTGCTTTGTGACATAGATGACGTTTGTGTTGTGATCTAGTGATGGGCAATACGGTTCGAAATAGGAAAGGATTCGCGGTTGTAGGGGTGCTTTGAAATAGTACTAAAAATAATGCATTGGCAGCTATTACTATGCCTTCGATTTGGTTTTTGAGTATCATACTTTGTACAAGAATATTGACAAAATCTTATTGAACATCAGATTTTAACATCGAACGTCAGCCCATCTTTGGTAGATCGAGGTTGAGTCACCAAAAGTGACAGTGACAGATGTGTCAGTGCTCATCCACCTCACCTGAAGATTAACGGATTTTCTCACTTTGATATATTTCATCTGATTCAAGTAGCATTTGTGGATAATAAAAACTATATAGTTCCCTTGGATTGTGCCGCATTTAGCTGATTTTGTACTATAACAGAAAATGGCCGATCCTAAATACGCTGACCTACCTGGAATAGTATGTTTATCTTGCATATCTCAGGTTTCTTGCTCCAATTTTACCTAAAATGTAGTCCTAGAACAAAAATGATATTATTTTCTGTTCATAATTTTAGGCCCATGATGAGCCAGATGTATACGAAACCACAGACCTCCCTGAATCTGAGCAAGCTGCAGATTTCTATGAAGATGAGGAAGACCCTGTGGAAAGGATTCATATCTCTAGTGATGATGCTTTCAAAAAGTTCAAAGACAAGTACTTGAGTGCTGAGAATATTGATTTCTCTTCAAGAATTCGTAGTAGAAGATGTACTGGTTATGATGCTAGACATGGAGATTGGGAACTAGGTATTTAACAATCAGCAAAATGTTTGAACGAGGGTTATACTTCAAAATATGCTTTTTGTCCTGTTTATAGAATGTAACGCTACCTTTTTATAACATATAATAATACTATCTGACTGGAAATGATTGATTGTACATGTTTTGTGAATAACAGTCCATCAGTTCCCAAATATTTGAGCATTTCCAGACTTCAGAATAACACTTTATAAATGAAATCAAAAATACTGTGCTGCTGATAACTGTGTTGTGTATAACTTACATTAATGACTTGTTTAACTTCCTGTTAAGCTGATGACATGACATTAATTAGGAAGCGACTATGTGTATTTAGACTAGAAGCAAAATTGGTTGAGAGTAAATTAAAGGCTGAGTTGTGATCAACTCATAATCATCTGCATGACTCATTTTTTTTCTTTTGAGCTAAAAATACCACTTTAATATCAGTAGACACACCAAGTCGCAAAATTAAACGACTAATGGCTGAAAACATGCACAGTATAGACTGAAAACAGAGTTTAAAAAAAGTACATAATAGCTTTACACTTAATTTTGAAATATATCCCATTGTGATTAAAAAAATGCCTTATATTTCTATGTTATTTTCAATCCAATGCACATATAAAGTCACACATAGTAGTCAAATTAATTTGTCTGTCTATGAGATGTAAAAAATATTACACCCAAAAAATATTTTAAAAGAATGATTATGAATATAACACCCAGAAAATGACTGAAACTTTGAAATTGGACCTCTGTAAACAATTTTCTTGCTGCTCCAAAAATTTAAATATTTTACAACAAAAAAAAATTAAAACATTTAAACATATGGAAAATACTTTTAATTCTATAGTTTAAAGTACATACTGCCTAGTAAAAAGCTATTTTTTTCTAGTGGGTCCTGGAGAAAAAGAGACCCCAGTACAAAAGTACAATAGATTACAATGTGAGATGAGAGAACTCCTTGAAGAAGTGAAAGATTTAGAAAACAATAAAAAGGGAGAAGATGCAGATTGTGTAGTATCCACAACAAAAGTAGAGCAAGCATTGAAGCAACTAGCAGATCTGAAGTTAGAAGAAACACTAGGAGAGGAGATTGTTGCCCAAATATCTGATCCACAGGGCGCTGAAGTCAAGTATGTTTCATTTTTAAATAAATTTGTTATGTAGTGGTCAAAATGGACTAGGGTACTGTTCCAGTTATTTTGGTGCACCTCTAACTTAGTTGATATCTGGATTCATATGAAAATTATTACAGGAAATTAATATCACAATTGGAGCAGTTCAAGGCAAGTATCCATGAGAAGCCAGAGTCTGAATCACAATCTGAAGCTGATGGAATTGTGTACCAGTTCAGCTACAGGCCTGAGCAGGCACGACTTGCTCAGACAACAAGATTGGCAGAGCTAGAGAGTAGATTGAATCGCTTAGAAACTGTGCTGGGCTGCTCTACTGACAAACTATCTAGGTTAACATCAGCAACTAAAAAAGGTATGAATTTACAACATCTAGTATAAGCAGAGTAGTTGAAAAAACTGGAATGACAAAAAAGAAAAATTTATTAAGAATATTTTTAATATATTGTCACCTTTGAAAAATAGAAAACCCAGCATCAACTATGTGCCTAGCCTATCACTTTCCATATTATCTGTTACAGATTACAAAAAAGTATGGTAGATGTATTTTTGCAGTAGAAGGCAGTGTAATGGTTTAAAGCATATAAAATATCAAGGGATGAGATTATGTGTCAAAATATAGAATTTTGAAAAATAACCGACCTCCGTCATAACCTTACCCTTTAATATTTTTTCTGTTAATAAAATACACAACTCAAAAAAATTTAGGGAACAAAAAAAAGTTTTCTGTGATCTTTGACAAGTTGTATTTTGTTGAAACATGGTCGTAGATATCTATGCACCAAATGATCGCATCAAGATTTTAAAGACAGGAAATTATAGCTGAATAAATGGTCTAACAGAAAAAAATTCTTCATGCCGGTGGACTAAAAAGAATAAAAAAGTTTTGCAAAAAAATGTTCTTGTGTTCTTGCAGAGATATTCACGGTATTCCTGCGGCAAAGCAGAATGTTGATGACACAGACACCTATAGTGTAATTTGTAAAAAAATATATTTCAGGAAGCTTGATGGAAGTAGCGGAACAGCTAAGTGCTACAGCCAGTATGTTAGACTCATCTCAGTTAGATCATATTGAAGGTAGACTAGGAGCATTGGCGCAAAAGTTGGAAGGCATCACAGAGAAAAAGAAGCAGGTTCAACAGGATGATGAAAAGGATAAAATGGTAAGAAGTAATATTTTGTTCAATTAAAGCCAATGCCTATAATGAATGTCTTCAATGGTTCCCATTACTCAGATAATTCTAATACCGCTTCTGTGCAACATTACAAGGAATAATTGTTGAGACATCTATACCTTCAAGCTCAGTCTAAATGGGTTTTGAGACAAAAAATAAAATTGAAGTGAATTGTTACTATATTTTCGGTTTCACATTTTATTTATTAGCTTCTCCGAGCTCAAACTGTAATAGTTTATCACTACGATAAATAAAAGTCACGACCATGGCAGCATTAAGTGTATAGTCGTGACTTCTATGGTTGCAACTATTTTGAACTGTGGCACTCCTCTGACTACATAACTTCCAATCTGTTTCGTCTATATTTTTAGTTAACTTACATGATTTATGACAAATCTTTCCCAACTAACACATGTTACAAGTAGATATAAATAATTCAGATATCGTAATCACTGTTTTAACCTGATTTGCTCATCCAAAACCAGGAAACGTACAATAAAACCGGGTTTACAATACCACTTTGCCTACCAACTGTTTTGATATAAGATAGTGCTACAGATCTTAAATAAGAGCTAGTATTGTCAAAGTCAATAAAACCTACTGATTTTCTAAGGAATTAAAGAATGTGTCATGATCATGACAGAAGAAAGGACGATAACTTTCCCGGCATGTGTTAATCCCCGGAACACAGCAAAGCGTTTTAAAAATAAATACGAAGGTCATTATTAACATCCGAAAAATAAAAAACAAACGTGAAATCGTACACGCACGTGTATTTAACACCAATACACTTACCTATCTATAAATGGGATACTTTTAGAATACGCCACTGTTTTGTTTTTCGAAACGCGCAATTTTTCGAATTTTACGTTCAATTTGCTGCCAATAATTACTGTTGTGTTTTTTCCTAGAGTGCATTGTTTTCGTGAACATAAGAAAAAAAAGATAATCAAAGCTTTATTTCAATAAATGTTCAAAAAGACCGCCATTCTGACGGATACAAGTGCGGCATCTAGAACGTATTTCCGCAAAATTTATTGTGGCTTGAATTTAATGAAACGCATTATCTATTCTTTCTTGTAACTGATCAACAGTATTAATTTATTCTGCATACACTAGTTGTTTAAAAGCACCCCACAAAAAGAAATCCAGGGGGTTCAAATCAGGAGATCTCGTAGGAAAATGTACGGGTCCGTTTCTGCCAATCCATCGTTGCCTAAAATGATTCTTTAACCATGCGGTTATGTCACGACGAAGATTTATAATATTATGGTTTTAATGTAGTTTATATTATCACCTCTTTCAGATATTGGAGCTATTTGAACTAGTGAAGAAAAATGAAGCCACTCTTGCATCAATTCCACAAGTGATTAACAGACTCAAATCACTAAATGAACTTCATAGTAAAGGTATGTCTCCATTTACCAATTAAATATTTTTTACTTATTTGCTCATACTTGATTGCAGCTACAGATTTTGTGAAGACCCTGACAGAAATCGAAGTGGCACAAGCAGAAATCACTGGCAACATTGAGAACAATAAAACGTTGCTACAAGGTGTGCAAGAAAGCTTTGCAACTAGTCTTAATGAGATTAATTCTACTGTGCAAAATCTGGATTCTAGGATCAAAGCTTTAAAGAAAAAATAAGTTAATTGTAGGCAAGATTGCAATATTTCATTCTAATTATTCTTTTTTTACACAAGCTTCTCTATAATACACTTGCATTGATATTGGTATGTTTACATAACTAAATAATGCTATATACGTACATTTGAAATAAATATATTTATTATTGTACTTTTTAGTTTATTGTCTCCTACTCCCAAAATACGTGAACTTTTTGATATAGGACTGAAGGTAAGGGTGATCAAAAAGTGCAGCAGTTCTCAACTTAACTCTCAACAAAACGATCATCAGATTCGGATAATGCTTTTACGGAAATAAACACCAGCTCTACAATGTTGCCGTCACTTGGCCATTCAGATAATGTTGATAGTCTAATCATATTAGCAAATTTTCCTGCAATAAAGTCTGGTTTTATTGGTGCAAGTTGTTAAAGGGGGTATTTAAAACATGGGCGCGTAAAATGGGTACACCAATTTTTGTGGGAAAACCTAATTGTTTGTCCCAAAACACCTGTTTTCCGGCCATCACAACTAGTTTATTGAGCAATATACAGGGTTCGTTCAAAGATCATTTAATAGCAAAATACACGTGTTCACTTTGACGATATGAATCACAAACCATTCCAAAAGATAAAAGTCATTTTTTATGCGAAAAACAAAGGTTACGTTTTGTCACCCTAAGCAAATTCAAACATTTCGTATTTGTGAGTAACTGCAAATGCGCTACAATATTCGAAAAACATACGATACTGTACACATTTTAAAACAAGGCGGATGTCTCTATCATCTTTTGTTTCGAATTACTCACAAACAAGAAATGTTGGAATTCGTTTAGAAGAAAAAACGTAACCCACTAGTACTTATTAAATATATCTATAACATAAAATGCACGGCTTCATATTAAAAAGATAAACGTGGCTGCAAAGGGTTAACTTGTAACCAAAATCAAAAGAATAGAAAAGAGATGCATAATATGGATGTGCCAGGTATTAACTAAATATTCAAATAATAGTGATAGAGGGTGCTAAAGAAAGAACACATATTTCTTAACAACATTTATAAAAATACATAAATACTATACTTATATATTATGAGTGAGTTATTTGGAATGTGTCCAAGTTTGTGGCACATCCAGGACATGTATGAAGAGTCTCATGTACAAATATGTCACAGTCTATGCAAAATACCTTCTTGCAATTTGGACAGTCGTAAACCTGAAAAAAAAATGGCCAAATACACTCATATGTAGAAAATTACTAAAACGGCTAATAACCATAGAAGTTGATGCCGTTAATAAAAAAAACTGCTAATAATTATTTTGCAGTCTTATATTGTGCGACTTGTGGATAGTAAATAAATTGCTGTTTCACGAGCATTTTGAATACAGTATTTCAAAAACATCAAAAAAGATAAATTACTTCTATAGAGTTTCCCATAGTGTGTATTCCAAAAACATTGTGTATAACACTATAATTCTTCCCCATTTTTATATTGTTCAAGCATCTTGCTTTCAGCAAATGAAAACATATTTCAAAAATTACAAATTCTACAAAATAAAGCTATGAGAATAAATTAAAAAAAAAACATATGCTAGGAATAAGTCTATATTGGAAGCACTAGAGCGGTTGAATGTAATGTAAAAAATTTATTAAATGTTATTTGGTTCTCATTTTCATATTCAAATTAAAAATCATTTATTTCCACCACATTTAAAAAACGTCACAAAATGAAATAGTCAGTATTGTAACTACAAAACTAAAAAGGGAGTATTTGAATTTAATAAATTTAAGCTGAAATTAAAAAATTACTTTATGAATACTCAAAATACATAGTGATGTAATATAAAATTACAGAAAATGGATTAAAAATGTGTAAACGAATTATACAAAATTAACATTAATGCTAAATAAATATTCGACAAACAGACTTTTTATTTGGAAAACAATGTAATGTGGGTCTCCCTTGATTGAAGGCAAAGTATGAAGAGTGCCAAACCCTGTTATTTTTAAACCTTCAAGTAAGCGTGGATTAGAACAGAAATGTCAGCATTTGCAAGGATGTGACCAGCAATCCCTCTATTGATGGTCAATTAGACCAAAAATGCTGTACCTTTGTTAGAAATTCGAGATGTCTGGGACTTTCGGCTTAGTGTAGCAAATATTCGTTGAAATTGGGATATTGTTGTTACCTGTTTATCAGCATCTCCAAATGGTCTCTGGCACCCATAGCAAATGGCAACTTGGTTCTGGAACTGAACCTCCGCATAGTTGGCAGCAGGAAAAAGGTGGTGGTACGACCTAGCGAGGTGGGGCGCGGAGACTAACGTGAGACCGCATGCCCTGCATTCCACTGGCAGTTCGCAATATTTGCTGTAGCACTGAGGACAATAGTAGCCGCCTGTTGTCAGCTTACTGCTATCTTCCATATTGTCTACGTGACTAAAACATAAGATAGATTTTATGGGACCTAAATTGAATATTGGACGTAAGTGCGAATTTTTAAACAATTCAAGCGGCCCCTAGTTTGGGTCACAAAGGTTACAGCTTTGACTTTCTCAGTTTCAATTAAAAAAAGGCCTGTGGCGTTTCTATTAAGCCATAAAACAACTTTTTTTTTATACTCCAACCGCCATGAAGGCATAAGGCCTAAACACCCATGGGGTACCGTGCGGCTATAGGGGGATACAGGGGAAAGGGGGAACGCCACACGGACTCTGGCGAGGGAACACGTGCATCCAACATGCACACTTTCTGGCCCCACCTACGATATCCGCCGGGTGGTACCTCTACGTCAGAGACCGTCTACCACCTACGGACAATCACAACATCCATAGCCAAGAGAAAAATTTCTCTAGGGACGGGATTCGAACCTGCACAGCGTACGGCGACTGATCAGGAGACCGAAGAGTCTACTACTGCGGCCACCGCTGCTGCTCGAATTTGAAACTGATTATCGTATTCAATGGTTGTACATAAGAAAAGAGCTGAGGGCGTACTTAATGAAAGATAGTAAAAGATTCTCACCACATGCACATTGTGAGCGGTTCTTCAGCAGCATCTGCGTCCCTATCTATTTGGTGCGGGAAACCCATCTTGATCAAACTGGACTCCAGTGAAACAGCTGCTGGTGGTGGTTCCACATGTTGCATCAACAGGTCCCTGAAGTGCGCGTCGTCCAGGATAACATTGTAGATGCCACCACTGTGGTTGGCCAGCTGCCTGCAAATGTGCACCTCGGCTGCCAGTCCGATCACAGAGCACCGAACTCCTTCACTCTTCAAGTTCTATTGACATTAAAAACGTTTATATAATCTAGTATCTGATAACCGTAGTATATCACGGTGGTATTCAGTTTCCTTTCTAACTATTGGTACGATGATAGCTCCTGTTCTCAACCCAAAAAGAGTTAAAAATATGCAAATACCCATTTTGCTCCCCAAAGAATACTTATACACAGTCTGTCTGACTATCTGAAATCAATATTGGATTCCCAACTGATTAAAAGGAATGAAGCTATAAAATTACCTCTATTGTCAGATGGATGTCTCCAGGATCACAGGTTGTCAGACTTCCCATAATAACCAAGATCTCCCTACTAGCATGAGATGGGAGCAATTTCAATGATGATAACGCCATTTCCAAGCCATTTTGTAAGGATGGCTCTCCAACAAGTGAACTTTGGTTTAGAGTTTTTAATATCCTAGTATGTTTCTTGTAATTACCAGCTAAATCACTGATTTTTTCGGATCTCTTGTTATGCATTATTATGATGCCCATTTGACTTATTGGGTTTTGATCAAAGAATTCCTCTAGGAATATTTCTAGGAGCTGGAAATTATAAAGGGTGTTACAGGATATTCTACCGAAAGTTTGAGGACAATTATGAAAAAAGTCATATACAAAAGGTCCTAAAATTTCCCATTTATGGAGCATTTAAACACTACGTTCATGTTTATATGTATTGCATGCCACTGGTTTTTGCTAAAATAAGTGTGACATTCTTAATGCCATATCTGAAAAGCATCTCTTGTAGTTGTTCATTGTTTCTTAAAAAAACTACTCAATACCATTTTTTAATAACAAACAGGTCAATATGCACTGATAATATTTTTTTAAATGATGTATTTAAACGAAATATTCCAAAAGGCAAAGTTTAAGTAGAATTTTTTCAAGAAATTTGAGGTGAACTATCAAAAGACAAACAAGCTTAATCACCCTGTATTATGGAAACACATTTTGTACTCGGATTGTATCCGGTACTCGGCCCATTTTAGTAATAATAAAAATAATCTTTATTCCAACATGTTTGCACCCAAACACAGGAACATTGAAATATTACACATCAAGTTCTATACTCTTGTGTATAAGAGTTTATTTCACAAAATCCATTTAAAATATGAATGAAAGACATTATTGCAGGAAATAAATACATAAAAATGAACATGAATGACTGCAAAATTGTCACAAAAAATATATCTAAAAATTACAGCTCTACCTGAATGGTATCAATATTGATATGGCATTGTTGACAATAAGTGTCAAACACTTCACACATCCTTTTCACAGGAGACAATACAGGTATATTCTTTAATTCACCGGTTGATTCCATCACTGATGGATTCGGTGAACTCATGGTTGACAGCTGATGTGATGACGTTAGCAACCGGTTCCGCTGAATGGTCGTTCATAAAAAGATACATCTTTAGCCTTGCCCTGTATAGGGCACTGATAGCAGCTGTCCCGTAATTTCGATCCGGAAAATTTTTTAGACGAAAAGCGAGATAACCGAGGTATTTAATATGGAAACTGACCCAGGGGGGTCAGGAAATGGCGCTTCCACCATGGCAATGGAGATGGAGTCGAAGGAGCAGACCATAGAGGAGCTGAGAGTCGAATTGGAGATGGTTCGACAGGAGCTGTCAAAAAAGGACGATGATAAGAAGACCAATGAAAGATTGATGATGATCATCGAAGCCCAGCAGCGGACAATTACCGACCTAACAGTTAAATTAGACCTCCTACTGAAAACCCAGGTACCTTCCCATCTAAATATTACAAATTCTTCCCAAACACTTCCCAAAAATCCCAGTAAAGACAAAGCTGTCAATCTTAAGAGACCGTTAAATAATTCAAGCGATCTTTCCACAGACGACGATACACTCCCTGACGGTTTTACCAAGGTTAAGCCCCGTAAAACGCGGCGAAACAAGACCGACACGACAGGCTTTCCTCCTCTCCCTTCACCAAAATCGCAGTCTGAAACATCTCATTCAACTGCAAGCGACTCGAATAAACAGCCTGTGCCTAATCTATCGGTTACTTCCACGCCTTCGACATCTCAGGTACCAGAAGACACGACTGCACAGCCCCCACGCAAGGTACGTGTTACGCCCATCGTTCTTCGTGATGCTTCGAGATGGCGAGGCGTAAATCACAAGTTTATTTCCTTGGGCATCAAATTCGAACGCGCGGTTGCCGTCGATGCAGGAATCAGGATAATTCCCAAGTCCGAGGATGATTACCGCAGGATTATTCGTCTCTTCAGGGAGGAAGAGGTGCCCCATCACACTTTCCCTCTACCCTCCGAGAGGAACATTCATGCTGTAATCAGAGGAGTACATGCGACACTTTCGGAAATTGAGATCAAGGAAGAGTTGCAACAGAGGGGATATTCCCCCCTGCACATAATTCGCCTGAAACGCGGTGGCGGCGTGCCCATGCCTTTGGTGGTAGTCATACTGCCCAAGATAGAAAAATCTCAGCAGCTGTTCAACGCACACGAGCTGCTAGGTTTGGCTATCCGAGTCGAAGTTCAAAAGAACTCAAGACTCATCGGGCAGTGTCACCGCTGCCAAAAATATGGGCATGCGCAATCTTACTGCACTGCACCACCTAAATGTCTAAAATGTGCCTCTGACCACATGACCCACTTATGCCCTCAAACAGAACAAGAGGAACGAAAGTGCGCGAACTGTGGAGGGGGGCATCCAGCGAATAGCCGAAATTGCAGATTTGCCCCTAAGAAAAATCTGCAAGTGATAGCGCAAAGGCGCAATGTAAGTTACGCGGATGCAGCTAGGGATGCAACCCGGGCTGCCCCCTCTGTGGGATCTTCTGCGAACACACAAAATGTGGACCTGGCAACCGCGCTAAGGTCCTTACAGCAGATCATAGGTCCTCTGATTAGCGCAACACAGGCTTTGCAGGCGATCTTTCCTGCAAATGGGTAGGTACAATCGACGACAGCCTGCATTTATCAAAATTCTTTTTTGGAATTGTTTGGGTCTAAGGGACATTCCCAAAAGACGGGAATTTCATCAAGCTCTTGTGGACGAAAGTATAGATGTGGCCTTGCTGCAGGAAACATTACTTAATCCGGGAGATCGTCTAGCTTTCCCGAATTACGATGTTATCCGGGCTGATAGATTGACTGGACGGGGTGGCGGCTTGGCAGTGCTAGTGAAACGCGGTATTGACTACCACAGAAGCACAAACGCTGACATGCAGAGCATCGAAGCGGCTTCCGTGGTGGTCAATATGACGGGAGGTGTGCCGTTAAAAATCACATCGGTGTATGTCAGGTGTGGTAACAGGCTGCAAGAGGCGGATCTGGAAGTCCTTTTAGACTACTCGGGTCCACTTATTGTGGCAGGGGACTTCAACTGCAAACATCGAGCATGGCATTCCAGGTTGAATTCCACCAGTGGGATCCGACTGTACAACCATGTGATACGAAATGGCTACCTCATACATAGTACTGAGGAGCCGACGCACCACCCATTTAATCACCTTCAGGCACCTGATGTTCTTGATTTGGCATTATCCAAAAACTGTAGCTACAGCATCACTTCTCGAATCATGTATGACATCTCAAGCGATCATCTTCCCGTCGTTTTGGAAGTGGCTAATGAGCAGATTTTGGGGGATGAAATCCCTCCAAGGAAACGCATTGATTGGGAGCTATAAGTCGCTCCTCAAAGAGTTCCCCAATATACCGATCATAGATGATGAGAACGGTATAGATGCGGCTCAAGCAGAGTGGACAAGTTTTGTTCAGCAAACTCTGCAGCGTGCAGCTGTACTTCCCGTGCAGCGACACGGCAGACCTTTTCTGCCAGCAGACATTCGTCAGAAAATTTCTGATAAAAGAGCTGCAATTAAGCAAGCGAAAAGGTCTTGTCATCCTGATGACATTCGCAGAGCGACGAATCTTGTTCATGAAGTAAGAAATGCTCTTCATGAATTCCGCAGTGAGCAATGGAACGACTTTCTGGCGGGGATGCTTGACTCAAGCATTCCTCTCTGGAAGGTGGCGAAGTCGCTCAAAAACGGAAAGCGTGAACAAATCCCACACATTCACGGTCCTGGAGGCATTGTCTTCAGGACAGAGGAGAAGGTTGAGGTTTTCGCCGATGCCATGGAAAGACAGTTCTCTCCCAACTATGATCTTGATAATGACCTCGACGAGGAGCAACACATCGTAAGATCTGTCAGGAGATATTTTAGGGCCAACGGCGTCAGTGACAGTCGCGCATTCGTTGGTGATTTTTCTTCATCAGAAGATTCTTCTTCAGAAGCTTCTTCAACCGAAGATTTGCTTAGCACATCAGCGGTATCTCCTGAGATCCCGCATTGCACACCAGCAGAGATTCAAGGTCATATTAAAGATCTTAAAGTGCGTATTGCACCTGGGGAGGATCAAATCACTAATAAGGCGCTGAAGCTGCTTTCGCGGAAGTCCTTAACTTATCTCGTGGCAATAGTCAATGCCATGCTCAGGATCCAGTACTTCCCATCCGCGTGGAAGACCGCTGAAGTTATAATGATTCCAAAGAAGGTGGGTTCGATATTTCCCCAGGATTATCGTCCCATTAGCCTGCTGTCAGCTGCGTCTAAGCTCGCTGAAAAGGTGATTCTACGTCACCTTGAGAATTTCTCGTCAGATCACCATGTGATTCCAGACGTGCAATTCGGTTTTCGGTCTGAACATAGTACGGAGCTACAGGCGGTTAGGCTGGTGGAACGTGTAACCAGTGGATTCACCCTTAACGAAAGTACTGGCATCTTGCTTTTGGATGTCTCAAAAGCATTTGACAAGGTGTGGCACGCGGGCCTCTTGTATAAACTAATCCAAAAGGGCTTCCCTTTTTGGCTTCTAAAACTACTGAAATCCTTCCTTGAAGGTAGGAAATTTCGGATCAAAATTGACAATGTGCTGTCGACAACACGGCTGATTACAGCCGGCGTCCCTCAGGGTTCGGTCCTTGGACCTATCCTTTACTCACTGTACATCCATGACGTCCCTAGTCCCAACAACTGTGAAGTCTATCTCTATGCTGACGATACTGCATTGGTGGCTCAGTCGTGGTCTGGTGACCTAGTCCATGACAGGCTGCAAAGTGCGGTGGAAGAAGTATTAGATTGGGCGGATCGGTGGCTAATTAAAATAAACCATTCGAAAACGCAGGCAATCTACTGTACAAAAAGACGTCGCGGCGTTCCGTCTGAAGTTTCAATGAATGGACTTCGTATACCATGGGAATCCTCCGCTAAGTATCTCGGTGTCATTCTGGACAAAGGGATGACTTGGCGGAACCATATGGAAGCGCTAAAAACTAAATTCCAAATTACGTTTCGGCAGCTTTACCCATTATTATGTAACCGGTCAAAATTAAGTTTGATTAACAAGATTCGACTCTATAAGGTGGTCATAAGACCAGCAATGACATACGCATGTGCGGCTTGGTGTTTTATTGCTAAAACACACATGCGAAGTCTGCAGGTTCTGCAAAGCAGAACGTTGCGCACTATTGCTGATGCCCCATGGTATGTCTCTAACGAAACTCTACATAGAGACCTCGATGTCCCTTACCTAAAGGACTACATTAAGCAACAGGCGCAGCGGCGCTATAGCCTAGCGGAATCGCACAGCAACCCTCTGTTGCGTGATTCAGTGGACTACACAGTCGAGCAAGTTCGCAATCACAAAAGGCCGCGGCTCGCACTGTGATCAAAATTAACTCGTGAACTTAGAACAACCAAAATTGGAGCATTTTTACACAATCTTTAGAAAAAATCAAATATTTTTAGACCATATCAAAATCTGTGAAGCGATTTTAACAATGCCTAAACGCTGCATATCCTAAAAGTTTCTCTTCTTCCCCTTTGCTCTCGTTCTTCCTTCTCTCCTTTCCTTCCCATTTTTTCCTTAAAATTGTCTGGTTTCTGGGTTACCAGACCTGACAGACTTACAAACCGACACCGTGACTCAAGAGCTAAGGTCGCACGGACCGCTCTGACAACCAACGATGACTTGACTTGATCTTTAGCCTTCAGGTTGCTGTCATATGAGAAAACCTAACCCTTGTTTTATCGTAAATGGATACTTGTTAATTTGAACACCGTATCATTTAAAATCATTATGGAAATGTACGCAGCAGTTGGTATTGTCGTGGAACGTTTGTTAAGCGATTCAAGTGATGATTCTGATGAAGAAGTTATCCAGCGGAGAGAATTTGCACTCCGAGAATCAATATAAGAACTATAAATCAGAAAACCAAGAATTTTTCAGATATCGACGATCTCAAATCAATACGAGGCATTTTTTTTTTCAAAATCTGGTAAAATGTAGAGGTTAGAATATGGTGGATCAACCGAGCCCGAACGTCGGTGGATGCTGTTGGCACCGGTGGCATAACCACCATCAATATAGAGACAAGTTAGATGTACAACTGGTCGTTCCAGCGGAAATTAAAGGACGCAAACTTGGCTAACCGGTTGCACCGGTAGCTCAACCGGTGAATTAAAGAATATACCTTACATGTCCGATATGTTGGTACTACTCCTAATGCTGTAAAAAGTCGCATAAGAATGAGTTGATCTTTTTGGCACCACAGAATTTATTTTATATAATAATTTTGTGCAATCAAGGTTATTGTTAACCAGACTATGAAGCACCCTAATATTATTTAATTGTCGCCGGTAAACCAATGCACCAAAATTCATGACTTGAAGTAGCATATTATGTGGGACGCCTCTTCGAGGATGTAAACCATAAACTTTGAAATGGATGTATTTCAGGCTCTTACGCTGGACGATTCAATCGCTGAAATTACATTCTGATAAATCGGCTACCCTGACCAGTTTCTGACACAGTATCCTAATATTTTATTTGCTGAAGAGACCATTCCTCTTATATGGTCATAGAACGTCAAATATTACCCCTAGATCTTTGAATCTCTGGCATCTCTGAATTGGTGTCATCAATGCAGTAAGCAAACAGAATAAGATTGAGCTTGCAAATAAAGCTAAAAATATTACATTTTGCTATGTTTATATTTATTTTGTTGCCAATACACCAGCTACTCAACCTATTGTGACCTTGCTGCAATTCCATACAATCATTGGTATTTTATCAAGTACCCGTTTTTGCCGAGTATTAAATTACAAGGCCGGGAAATTACTTGGTCTAAACATAAGACACACAACTTGTAGATTGTAGATGCGATGTACAAAGCTCAAAATACCTTTCCCAAACCTTGAAGTGTTCTCCAAGGAGACTAAAGCACTATGAAAAAAAAAAACTCGCTGCAAGATACAGCAAATTTCGCCGGAATAAGGAAACTGAGTTGTATAAAGGATGATTCTTTATTCTTTTAACAAATGCCAACCGTCTTATGCAGTAAGCTAGTATATTCACGACATTTGCATAGTTTATTTTTTCTTATGCACAAGTTGTAGCTACTATAAGTATTTTTCTTAAGTCCATCGAGTAGGTACCAAAGCAGTTCAATCTGAGAGGATATTTTGTTACTACCTTTTTGGAATTTAAATTGTTTTTCTATCTGTCATTTAAACATCCAAAAACCACAAATAAAGTTAAACAAAATGCAGCAAATGTCAAAAAGTAACGTGAATAACGACTATCCCTAGTCTTTGCAAAAAAACTTTCACTAATGCAGGAGGGTAATTTTCATTTAGCCCTTAGCAAATCTAAATTACACCTGTTTTAGGATTCAGCAGTTTTGTCTTTCTTTTGTAACCTCCTCCCAAAGGCTGCTCAGATTCCTGTAAGATTTAAATTCTGTAGTTTTTCAAAATTTGAACAGGTTGGGGCCTTGTGTTCGCAACACTCCTCTCTCAAAAAATTGTATAAGCTACACAATAGTTTCCCCTGTGGTGCATTAATTTTTCAGAAAGGTAAATCAATTTTGAGTAGAAAGGGACCTTTGAAGGACGAAAACATAATTTTAAAATCTAAACATCAATAATAGTAGTTGAAATAACTCGAGAGTCTATCACTGCACCAAGTACCTAGTGTTAATGCTATAAAAATATTGCCTGTTTCAAAGGTTCTTTATAATGTATGCAAAGTAAAGACTCTCTTACTTTTAAGGTACAAATAAGACGAGTAGGTTTCAAATCTTGACCAGACATTGACTCTGAGCAATCCAACAATAAAAATAAATGTCTCATCATCCCCAGTTTTTGGCTTCCCTGTTTCATTGCTTGCCTTTTCCGCTTCGCTCTCTGGACAATATCTGCCACAGAGGCCTCCAGAAAGCCATCATCATCTTCTTTTATTGCTTCCCTAAAAAAGTTTATGGGTACAGTTCAGGTTTTTCAAAAATCTACAATAGTTTACCAAGTTTTTTCATAGCCGGTTTCCCATCTGTATTCTTTTAAATCTTCATCGTCGACCATTTTAATATCCTTAGTATTCCCTATAAGATATCTAAATTTGATGGTAAAAATCCAAAATTGCCGGTTAAAAAACAAAATTACAAAACTCTTCCAAAACAAGAGAAGTACACTACACACTGCTACACACACAAAGCCACAAAACATCAAAACATATACACAGAAGGTTTATGTCAGTGTCAATCGCCATTTTTTCTGGATGCCACATGGTTGTCAGATTGTGCACGAACGCCGCATGTACAATTATATATTGAGCATTTACTAGTGATATATGGAAGATTTCATAACGAAATGTGTTATTAACATATTGTTGCTGTTTTGAGAAATAAGTAATCACTTAGCAGCAGCGTCAATAACACATGCCATTATAAAATCATCCATATATCTCTGTATTGCTATTTGAACATTTTAGAACAGTAAAAGAATCTATAGGTACTTGAGAATATATTTTTATTTAAATTTCATATTGTATGAACACATCAATTATATTTATGGTCCAAATATTTTCATTTCTGGTGATGGTCTTCTGCCGCATGGAAAAATTGTTAGAATTAGTGATGAAAACAAATTATTTCAAAAAGAAATAATAGTTATCATTAACAACTGTTAGGTTACTAGAGTTACCAGATTTGTCATAAGGATTATAACACAGGGATATCTATTCACAGTCCTATAACAGTGATAATCAGAATGTAAAAGTTTTAATGAAAATATGATTATATATAATTTAGGAATTTTTACAGCATCATTAAAATATATCATATATTTTATGCTATATAATATATATATATATATATTCAAAATTGAAATCTATGGAAATTGTCGTTAGTATCTTATATCAACAACAGAATACCAATATTAACAGAGAAGCGCTACACATATCACTCGATTTGACATAAACTTACATTAGCCATGATTCTGGAACACATTAGCCATTGTCCTATCTATCTCTGATCACCATGGGTTGGCAGTGAAATGAAGCGCCTTCAACTCTTGCTTCTTTAATGTTTCATATCACTCCACATTTGTGACTGTTGAATCAAGTTTAAATCCTCAATAGTTGTAATGTTCTAACAAATACATCCTTCCAATTTAGAAACTCTTGATCACTAAAGTTTTTTTTCAATCGATAAGGATGCTCCCTTTGTCGATTATAATCATCTAGAAATCTAGAAGAAAGTTGAGTTGTTCTCTTACACATTTTCACCAACATGTTAGGTGTTATACATCTGATTCTTAAGTTCATCAACTCACAAAAATGTAGTTTAAATAAGAACGACTTTAATAAAATTTGTAGTTACGAGAATCCTACCGGCCCGAGTAAAGATAACATGGCCTCTAGGTCTAGACTCTAGAAGACAACGATACACATACACTGAAGATATGATGTTGCGCATGTGAGCGGAGCTTCGTGACGTCACCCAGAGAGTTGTCGGCTCGTGATTACCAGTGGCAGTATTGTCGTAACGTTACTGCAGTGCACGTGTATCGTAGTGAATACTATATAGTGCGATTTGTTGGTGATTTTTGGTGGGTTTGTGACTTGTTGTATTAGTTATACATACTTTATATACCCTGTGATGTTAGTAAATTGATAAAAATGCGGTGTGCTGTTGTGGGATGTAGGAAGAAAAATCAAAGTCAATGTAAAAAGCGCTAGGGTTTGCTCGAAGCTCTTTAGTGAAGGTGCCTATAAGGTCAATTTGAAACATACCCTTTTGGGTTACATCCCTAAAAGATGCTCTAAAAGATAATGCCATTCCTATGGAAAGAAGTAGAGTAAGTGTAGGGCGAAACGAAGGCGCTTACTCAGAGTATTGCAGCGTAGAGGATGAGGATACTCCGGACATCCCACTAACCCCATCATTAACGAATAAACTGAATGCACCTGAAGAATCAGCTGACTATAACGAGGAAGTTTTAGTGGACGAAATAGATGAGCTCCAGTATGAAGTGCCGAAAAATTTGGCCGGCTTTGTTTGCCATAAATTGCAGGATGAGAGGTTGAAATGTTCCTCAAATGAAACTTATTCCTGGATAGACGAAAATCGAACAGCGGAGCATCCGGCACTGCTAGAAGACTATCCGTATGCGAAACTTTTCTCGAAATCGTTACCCCGCACCCCACTTGAAAAATGCAAATGAGATTGGAAAACTAGCGCTTTGATGTACTAAATGACTCCATCCTTACCCCGGGATAGACATACTTTCGGCAATTGACCTTGTCACCTAGATTGCTGCATTGCCAGCTCATCGGACAATTTTGCTATATCTGCTATTTTGCTAGAATGTTATATAAAAAAGGTTTGAATAAAGCGTTGAGGGATACCAATGGAGATGTATAAAATTTGAGGCGTAGCAATGTTTGCCAACAAACTAAAAAAAGCTGTTATTTACATTTTGCGTCGCCTGGCGTCTATGCGGCAGAACGTTAACGTCTCGGAACACTCATAAATGCCCAGTTTTATAGGATAAAATACTTCCAACAATTGGAAAAAACCAATTTTTTTATTATAACACATACTTATTTATTAAGTATTTGATCTAAGATTACATGATCATTTAGAGAAGTACGATTTTCATTTTCTCTACTATTTAGTAGGTGAATATGGTTTTTTAGTGACTGTATTCGCAAAACCTCAACCATCACTGCTAAGATTAATTGTATCAGCTGAAGAAAAATCAAGTCGTTCCACAACTCTGGCTTCATTTGTACAATCGAAAATCGCCAGCATGCCACAGTTTATTAACCTAAAAAAAATAGCATTGAAGTAACGGCGTATCCGAGGGTCATTTTTTAGGTAAGAATCGTTTTGTAATCCAGTCAGAGAAATTTTATTTTATTTATGAACTGAAATATAAACATTTTTCAACATAGCCACCATAAACATTCAAACACAAGTAAGCCGTGGCACCAGTTTTTGTGTTAATGTAGCATCCACAAAACATATTCACTGAACATCTGAAACTTATCCTGCAGTTTTCATGACGACTATTTCCCTCGTCTTAATTTCTACCAATCACAAACGCGGAATTTTGAATTACAAATGGTTTATAGATGGAAAAATTGTATGACATTACCTGTCAGTTTACCCGCGGCAAAACTTGTCAGCTGTTGTCACCATAAATTACAATACCCTTGATAACAAGTAATTATGGCCTGCTAGGACAGGAGAAATCACCGCTAAGCTTAATTTTGTGATATTGTCTTTAAACAGTGCTAGTCAGCTTATGTAGTGAAAATGAGTCGCTTTGGAAAAAATAATCTAAAATATATTACGTCCTTGAATGAAATAAGAAATATCGGTTAATTGCTTTTGCTGGAAAGGCATGTTTTAATAGACAAACACTTTATAATAAAAGTTGCATTATACCTTACTTCAGGTGCTTTGATCTTCGTATGTATAACCAAAACGAATATGATCCTGTACATCTTATCCTAGTATATTTTGCATAATGTTTAAGTTTGCACTTTATTCAAGATCTGTGAGTAAAAAAGCTCATTCGCAAAATTATCCTACATTCAGCTATTATCCTACACATAGTATCGTACATCGTACAGTACTTAAAATTATCGTACAGAAACGATAATTATCGTACAACTGGCAACGCTGGGCTTAGGTGAATGTATATAGAGTGTTCCAGAATAATATAACAATGAAATAGTACAAAAATGATACCAAAAAGATCAGAAAATGCTTTCTATATGAAAAGACAGGTCGAATCCTACACTAATAGACTCATTCACTTTAAGCTGAATCCTTACCATAGCGAATGAACCCTACGATTCTCATCACTAGAAAAAACTGACAGCAATCAGCTCATATTGACAGCAGTTTTTTTCAATTTTTGTTTTGATTTTGAAAGATGATAGGGGATTAGGAGTATCCTCGATCTTTAGGGAGAATAAGAAAAGAAATATGTATAAATTCGTGATATTAGGTTTCAAAAATCTATATAACCAGTTATCTCATATCCCAGCCGGTGGTTAAGCAGGGAAAACGGATGTGAGAATTCCGATGATATAGGAAACCCGTGATTCCTTATCAGTATTTAAACTGTGATTCAAACACGATGGAAGATGAGCCAAGCATATCCAAAGAAATAACCAAAAGCACTGATTTTTACATCGGAATATTATTAGCAGTATGTTCATCACTATTCATAGGCACGAGTTTCATTATAAAAAAGATATCTCTAACCAGACTGAGCAGAATTGGGGCCCTAAGAGCAGGAGCTGGGGGCTTTGGCTACCTCAAAGACTGGTTTTGGTGGCTGGGAATATCCGCAAGTAAGTATTAAAATGTTTTTTTTTTTTTAGTTGTAAAAGGGCTTAGCCGAGTTTGCTAAAAGTTTCAAGTGCTTATTGAACTTCTAATTTTTAGAACCACATTTATATTTTCAAGTGTCTAGGTGCCTTTGCAATCTTTTTTACAGTTTGTTCTTTTGCTTTACACTTTCTATAGAGAAAAACCCTATTTCCTTTGTCTTTTACATTAAGCAATGACCATTAAAAAATCCAACTACTCGGTGTGTTTCTATCTTACATCTTAGTCTTTCATTTTGAAGCCTGAATGTATCCTCAACATTCTTAAGCTGGTCTACTGAGACTCAAAATAACTAATAAATCTTATTCTACTTTTAGTGGGCTTTGGAGAAATACTCAACTTTGCAGCATATGGTTTTGCCCCAGCTTCTGTAGTCACACCCTTGGGAGCTCTAAGTGTCCTAGTTTCTGCAATTTTAGCTTCAAAATTCCTCAATGAAAAGCTAACTATTGTTGGGAAGGTAAGAACCATCTACAATTCTCAAGTAATCATCTTTAACCGAGATATTTCTGAAGTTAGGATGTCTACTGTGCATTCTGGGATCCACAATGATTATACTCCATGCCCCTAAAGAAGAGCCATTGGAAAATTTCAACCTGTTCTTAAGCAAACTCCAAGAACCAGCCTTTGCCCACTATATGATATGCATGGTTGTGCTCTGTAGTGCCATATTATGTTGCCTAGGACCACGCTTTGGGAGTAGATATGTTTGTGTTTACATCACACTATGCTCTGCTATTGGAGGAATTACTGTAATGGCTTGTAAGGCTATTGGTTTAGCCTTAAAAAGTTATTCAGGTATGTATTTAGTGATATTGCTTTTGTTAAACTGAACTGAGAATAAAATTTTATGAGGGGAGGGGAGAAACTACTTAAATTATGGAGAGTGAGGTCTATTCAGTCAAATATTTTGTTTTGTTCTAGTACTGCATG